TTTAAATAAAATGGCAAGACACAGAAATCCACCAGAGTGTAAAGAGTGATTTGTCATTTTTGCTGTATGTCTTACTTGTTTTCTACAAGTAACGTGCCCTTGCATTACTTGAATTGAAAAAAAAAAGACTGTAAACCCTTTCTGCAGCCGGAAGAATGATGGAAATTAGAATTTCTTTTTACATAATCCCCTAGCATTTTGCTTGTGGATACAGCTGTGTTAACACAATGCAACATTTGAGTTGAGAGATCTGCCAGATCCTGGCACCAGTGATAGTTTGCAGACTGAAGGTCTTATTTGATAGATTTTCAAAGTGATACTGTGCTCAGTTGTATCTATGTTCCTGGAAGGAGGCTTGCAGTCAGCTTCTCAGAGGAAATACTTTCAAAAGGAAAAGTTTAATTTTGCCAAGATTCAGATAAGGTCAGTGTAACTGGACAAACCAGAGCTTTGTAGGTTAGAGATGAACACAGCCTGCTCCCTGGGACTGGCAAATGCACTAGGAGAACAGGGAAATGAACTGCATGAGGATGATTACATTTGCTGAAAATCTGAAGTACTGTGTATATCTCTTGGCATATTGTCAAGTGCAGAGTTGCATTTAAGCAGGGTGGGGTTTTTCTACTTTTTAAAATTAAGTAAAATGTATTTATGCTTCCTGTTTCTGGTTTCTACTTTAACTCACCAGAAAATGGGTTCATCAAATTAATTCTAGTTGTTCTAATATATAGTATTTATAAATTGCTGTAAAAATTGATTGTAATATGATGCTAATTCACCATAGGTTTTACAAGTACATCTGTAGTGGCTTCTACCTAGCTGCCATGCTTTTCTGTTATGGGGCAGTAGGGATTGTATTCCAGCTGTACCCCACTGCTGGCCAAGGGAATGCTCTGACAGGTGGCAAACAGCATTAGCCTCTGACATCAGCTGACTTGTGCCAGCTTATAGTTAAGGTCTGGACTGATAATTTTCTCCTGTGTTTTCTTGGCTGCAGAACAGTGAAGCCATTTCTCAATTTGCCTGAGGTAGTTTCTGTGAGAGTCTGTGCTCAGTGATTGCACAGCCTTTACAGGCAGAGAATGAAAGAGGAGAGACTGAGTTACTTCAGTGGGGTAACTCACATTTAAAATACAGGAAACAAAAAAGGTGATAATTCTGTGGGCTAGCCAGCAAAAGGAAAGCTGCAGATCTCTTCCTTCTGTGGTAACATGGAGTCTCTTCCTGCTATATTTTTGTCTGTGTTAGAGTCTTTCCTCACTCAGGTCTTGTTAGGTTGGCTGAAAGATCAAAAATCCTAGTTAGGCACTAAGGAGCAGGATGCTAGTCCAGTTGGATAGCCTTGATTCCTTAGGAAAGAGAAGAGGTGAGATTGTGGGAGGATCGTGGGCAGGGACTTTGTACGGATTGCTGTGGCTGAGCTCGGGGGAGGCACAGACAGACTGTCTCGTCTTTCTTTGCTTGGACTTTGGGCTAAAGAAAATGGGATGTTTTGCTTTGTAAAAGCAGGATTGGAATGAAAGGATTAAAGGGAAGGATCCTGGGAAGTCCAGTGAGGTGGTCTTTTGCTTTAATACAGTTAAATGTAAGAACATACAAACAAATCCAAATAAAATTGCAGTAGAGGGAGTAAAGTAGGAGCTGTTTTGGTGAGGAGTCAGAAGTCAGATTACATACAGGCATGTGAAAGGTGCTTTGGCATTCCTGTGTGAATGAAAACCAGCAGGAGAAGGGAATGGAAGAAAGATAAAAAGGCACCTGTTTTTTTGAAGCATACAGCTTGCATGGGCATGAACATCCATGCAGTAGCACTGGGCTTGAGGGAAGTTTGCCAAGCAGCCAGATCATGCCTTCTCCCTGCCCTGTCTTGTTGGTCACACACAGGAGCTCTGTCCTGGATGTGTGACCCTGGATGTCCTGGGGAGCTGCAGGAAGGCAGTGCTGTGGGTAGGGAGTGTCTGGCACTGGCTGCCCACAGAGAGCTGGGACAAAGCCCTGGGGCACAGGAGGATTCCCTCCAAATGGCCTGGCAAAAGGCCACCTGGATTGCACAGTGAGCTGGCTGGTGACATTTCCAGGTGGTTTCTGAGCAGGCTGCACCTGGGCAGAGTCTGGGTGAATCTCTCTGGGTTCTCTGCCTCAGTGCCTGGAACACAGGAGGAGCAGAAAAACCTTCTCTCCAGCAGGTGCAGGAGATGACATGCTTTGCTGACTTGCTCCACCGAGCTTCTCAATCAGAGGACTTTGTTCTGACAGCCTCATACAGTCCAAGTTCAACAAGGACAGCTTCAGAGCAGTGGTTTTCCAGCCTTAGATCTGAGTAACCATCAGATGTGCACAGCTATGCAGAGAAAATGAAGCTTCCTGGCAGTAGGTTTGTTTTTCTGCATGATATGGAAATACCTCTCAGCTCTGAGGTAGGAGCCTGCCCTCAGGTTTTGGGGTGTTGCACCCAGCCTGGATGTCCATTTTACCTGCAAGCCCTAGTGTCTTCTTCTGTTATGGGATGGTGAAAAAGAAGTATCTGCACCAAAAGAGTCCTTCCCAACAAACACAAAGAAGCCCAGCTATGTTTCCCATTGTGCTGATTTTAGTCAGAAATACTGAAACCCACTCAAACATGAAAAATTATTTAGGTTACCCTAAATTAGTTTGAAATTACATTGTAACCACAAAAGGTGGTGGGGATTGATTGACTGGCTGTGTGGAGCTAAGAGCTCAGCTGAGGCTCAAAGTTAAGGTCCTACAGACAGCAGTAATGTTGCAAAACAGTGACAATAATAGAAGTTACAAAGAAGTTTGGAGCTCCAGAATTTCTTACAAGTGAAATAAGCAGTGGTTTTGTTTGAGGTTTTCTTCTGCTGGAGTCATACCACTCTTTGAAGGGCAAAAACTGTGTGTGTGTGTTTTCCTTCCTCTGTACATTTGAGTGGAGAATGAAGAAATACCAGCATGGTCTTGTTTTGATAATAGGATTGCATGCAGACATCCTTGTGGTTAAATTGAAAAAAAAAAAAAAAAAAAAAAAAAGAAAACCCATGAGATTTCCTGTGAAGGGGTTGTTGTTTGCAAATGGAGTGATTAAATACTGAGACTAGAGATTACAGACAACTGCAGGATCTTGCTCATAACCCTCTAATGTAACTCCGTAACACTCTCAGGTGAAAATTTTCTTTCCAGAATTGATCTAGAGAAGATTTTTTAATATATATAATTTCTTATGCTCTCTTCTTACAGAGCGGGCACCTGCTCTGCACCCTTGTATATGTGGCAAATTAGGAGACGGAGTTTAACTTACTTAATAGCACCTGCAAAACACCTGCTGAACATAATCTCGTATGGGATTAGTGCAGACAAGTTATTTAAGCACACTTCTAGGTGAAGAAACACTTCACAATTCTTTAGTGCTTCACTGGGAGTGTATCCTTTAAATATACTGATTTAGGAAGGAAGTTGGAATTTTTTATTTTTAATTTTTTTTCTCAGCACTCTTTTTTGTCTTGCTCATCCCCTAGGTTTGGTTTTCACAACAGTGCAGAATTCAAGATTTTAGTTTCAGCCTTCAAAGTCTGCAAACCTTGCCTGGAAAACCAGCAGGTTGCTGAGCCTCCTGGCATGGCTGCTTTTTAACCAGAATGCAAGTGGAAAAATGTAACCTAGTGCTCTTGTGGTAGGATCTGTGGAAACAAGGCGATCTATTTAAAGCTTCCTGCAACATGTTAAAATGAAAATGTTTCTTTTCTCCTGCTTGTACCTCTCTGTTTTCTCAAGTATTTTTGCTTGCCAGGGTTTTTTATTTAATCCTTCTGCCTTGGCCTTCCTCACCCATGTCAATTCTTTCTCATAAGGCATTAGAGGGAAGCAGAAGCATTCATGTGTTTGGTGTGGGGATGTGTCAAATTTGGGGTTTTACCTGTCACCATTCTCTCTCCCAGCTGCTTTGTTCTGCTCTCCCTCTGCAACCACACCACTTAACTTGGTTTTCACTGCTGCTGACAGCCTTTTATTTTAATTTCTGCTTGTATCAAATCAAAAGCTGTCACTATCTCTACTCTGTAATTTTTGCGTTTGTATTATTTGCGCCTTCTGGTAGCTGAAACTTCCAACATAACTCCCCGCTATGTGTTTGGAAAATGTGTGTGCAAGGAGAAAGGCTGTTTAAATACAGTTACAGCTCACCTGTAAAAATCCTAGGATGACATTTCAGCCATGGAACTGTATCCTGCTTAGTTCAGAAGCTGATTCACAAATTACTGGTGTGAATTGGTTGTGACTTTAGAGGAACTCTGCTACTCTGCTTTCAGATGGAGATCACCCTCTTCATATTCCTCATATGATGGATGCATTAATGTATTGTCCTGGGTGTTGAACTGTTAGTTCAGTTTACGTGATAGCAGAAAATGCCACTTCTTCCTAAATTCATCTTCAGTTCCTGACTTGAATATGACTCAGTTGCATTTTAGAAATCTGAAGCAGCATTTTCTGGGGGGGTGTTAGGGCTTTTTGTTATTGTTGTTTGTTGGTTTTTACTTTAATGGTAGAGTGTTTTCTCCCTTGTGGGTGATTTTAAACTGTTTTTTTTTTTTTTCCCTCCTGATAAGTCCTGCTAATACTGTAATATTTGAGAGTGGATTGTAATGACATCTAACATTTTGTTCTGTTTGTACTGCAGACTGAGGTCAAGTAAACAAAGAAAGCAATCATTATGTTTTAGCATTCTTTTTTAATGAGCACATTAAAATCTAGTCACAGCTACAGGATCAGCTGTGAAAAGAAAGGAGAGATACAGAACTCTGAGTAGCACTGTATTTTTGAAGCGGTTTATGGAAAAATAATGGACTGAGAGGATATGTAAGGACTCTGGTAGGAAATAAATGGCACGACGTTGTTTGCGGAAAGGGTTTGGCAGAAGGCTTGTTGTGACTGTTTCTGTGGCTTAGAATTGCAGAGGAATTTCCTACAGGCTGGGCTAACCCTTACAAATATGTGTCTGCTTTTAGGAGATCAAGGCATACAGTGGAGTCTTCTCAGGGAAGATGTCGTCTTTGACAATGAGAAGCCGTTGTGTGGACAAAAGAGGAAGTTTCTTTAAGGTAAATGGGATACTTACACAGAACACAAAGTATTTCACATTTTATGTGGAATGAGTGCAGCAGAATGTGCAGTACCCTCTGTGATACATAGTAAGCCTTTTCTGTAAAAGGGGAAGTACTTCTTGAGCATTTCTTTTTGCAGGCAGATTTGTGGCTGGATCACCCCTCAGTTATTTCACATGTATATTTTTTCTGTACATGGAAAGAGTAGAATATTTGGTGTAAAACAGGTCATGGCTTTCTTTGCTGCTAATGCTGAAAACATAAGCTTTATTGTGCACAGGCATACAATTATTGGAGCCTTCATAAACTGCATTTATGTCACTTAAAGTTGTGCTACAGACTTGTGGTTTCCATTACTGGATTGGAAATTGGTTTCATTTCCTTGCCTATTTTGAGAACAACTGGCATCCCAAAAAGCCAGGCTGCAGTAGGAGCTACCAGAGCAGTTTTCAAAAGATGATGTGCCAGGGTCACAGTGTCTGCCTTGCTGGGCAGGGTTTTGCTTTAGGGAGCCATCAAAATTTACAAGTGCTTTTGGGCACTGAATTAAGCAATCACATCCCTTAGAATATTCATCACTCACTGTAGCTTCTTCCAGTGAAAGATGCTAACTCTGCTGTCTTGGGGTGTTGCTGTTTCCATTCTTTCTCTTCCTCTGGGGCAGAAGTTTCCCTTGGGGAATCTTTAGGAAATGAACGATCAGTGCTGCAGTGACATCATGTTTTCCTTTGGTCTTGCCCAGCAGCTACCAAGGTCATCCAGTGACTGGGAACCACCTCTCAGTTCTGCAACACACTTCAGCTACCTCTCATAACTCAGAAGTACAAACATCAGCCTTGCTGATAGCAGTCCACAGCCAAATAGGGAGAACAGCCCTACTTTTCAAATCAGAACTGTCTCAGTTCCAAGAAGTATCTCTAGGTTGTCTCTTGCATGTATGCTGAAGGACTCCTGGTGTCAGATGGGACTGTAAGCAAGCATCCAGTCATTTTCTGCAGTCCTTTGGGATCTCCTTATGTAATGCTTATGTAGAAAATAGATGCTGGAACAGCTGTTTTATTCACGATCATGGGGTTGCAGTTACTCTAAATTATTAGAAATGCAGTCTGCAGTCTGCCTGGGCAATTTCAACAAACATTGTCAGTTAGAAAACTAAGGTCCTACATTTTCTGAAGGACATGCTGGCAGGGAAGAAGATGCCTCCAAGCTACTTTTCCAGACCTCTCACCATCCCTGGGAAGTTGCACTGTTGGACCATGGTTCTGAGCCCAGAGTGTGGGATTGGAAGCTGCAGTCAGTCAGTGTGCCCAGCCTGTGTGCAGTGCACCTGGTAGCTTGTGTGTGTACAGTGAAATTACCTTTTATTTCCTCCCTCCACCATGTAAGCAGAATTGTGACATTTACATTTGTTTGCTACAGCTGAGCTGATGAGCAAGCACAATACTTGGCACATCAGATTTTTTGAGTTTGCATTATTTTCATTTGCTTTGTCTGTCTGTGTTTAGGAGACCTAGTAATCAAGATATGGCCTTTTATCCCTGCTGATCTGTTCTTCAGTATGCTCTCCCACATGGGCAGACTGTCCCCTGTGCTTGCACATGGCTCTCAGGTTGTGCTTGTTAATTTGCAGTTGCCTGAGAAACCTTTACCACGTTGGTATGCAGATTCTCAGGGCACTTAAATCTTCTTAAGGGAGTATCTTACCATTCTCAGCAACATTTGCCAGAAAAATCGCTGACAAATACCAGTTGGGAAATTCCAACTTTATCTTTTCTTTTCTGGTTCTTAAGTAGTTCTCATTGCTACTGCTTCTAACCATCTCTTTTTTTTTTTTTTTTTTTTTTCACTGCCATTCTTTTGACTGTTAGTACACAAGGAAAACAGTATTGTCCCCATTTTAGACAGGGCAGAAGTCTGTAGTTTTAGAGGCTAAATTCTGTGGACTCTACACCTTGTGATTGGTGAATGCTCAGAGCCAGCTAGTAGTAAGAATGAGGCAATGATAGTCTTGGGTAATTCTGGGACTGAACAGCTTGCCAGTGGTTACAGAGAGGGTCTGTGGTAAGGCAAGGGGCTGAATATATGTCTCTGACAAATGTCCTCTTTACTGAATTATCCTCCTTCTCATCAAAATGTTCCAGTGTTTACTGAACTGGCACCAGAGGTTTTACACCAGTAAAGCTTTTCAGTTCCAAAATCAAGCATCAGGTAAAACTTTGTTTCTGATGAATAAGATACTGAACAACGTCAGTGGCCATGAGAATTCATAGCTCACCAGAATCTGCAGACGTGTATCAAAATATTGGATTGTGTTCAGAGGCTTGCACAAGTTCAGAGGCAGCATTCTCAGATGGGCTCGTCTCTGGCACTTGGCCACCTCACCACACAGGGCCCTCTGTGAGGGCTGCTACGTTCAGCTTATCAAAACAGGAAGGAAAAGATGTGATGCCAAAGAGGATGCAGGTCTCCAGAAAGAATGAAAAATGAGATGCTGGCAGGAAGTGGGAGTGGTAAATGCTGAGGCTCATTTGTCCAGTCTGATTCTAATCTCGCTGTCTGCAGCCCGTGTCCCCTTGCCAGATTAGAAGCACCCATTTTACCTTTTCCTCCTGAGTTCTTGTAAATCTCAGGGCTTGGAAACATTCTGCAGTGGTCATCTTGGCTGACTCTTTTAATGCCTGCTCAGAATGATGGCAGTTTTGTTAATTCTCTGTACAACCCTATTTATATTTCAACACAAAGAGCAGGAATTCAGTTGTCACGCAGTTTTTTCTAAAAATGTCTGGGAACAGACATCAAATCAAAGTGACCTGTCTTCTTCTTGGGAAAAGGAAACTCTTCAAGTCAAGTGAGTAATAAGAGCTATAGTTGTGCTGGGCTTCTGGGAGAGGCCCTGTCTATACCAGGTCCTGGGCATGTGCTTTCTTTCCCTGATGCACAGCAGTGTCAATGTGTGAATAGAGCAGCTTCACAAATGTGACTGGAGCCCTTGGGAGTGACTTGCTTCTGGTGAGCACACTGACTTCTACTGCTTGTAAAACATCCTGAGTGATGCAAAGCAAAGTAGATTTTACGTTATGGTGAGAGAATGCTGGGGTGCCATGTTTGTGGGCTGTGTGTAGGAGTTTCACTGTCACTCTTGCCAGCTCCCAAAAGCTGAGCTCAGTCTTGTTGAGCTCTGAATCAATTGACAATAAGCAGAGTGTGGTGGGTTATGAAAGGAAATGCTGTGGTTTAAGATGTTTGCATTTTATTATTTCATTCATGGATGTTAGGAATGTAAACAGTTAGTGCATGGGAATTTGGAAATCTAATGTTTAGGATAGATTTGGTTAGGCAATACTGTACTGGGCTGCTCTGTGAATTCATGTTGCCTGAGTCATAATTATTATTTGGGTTTACAGTGGTTATACTGTAGTGTCTTTTGAATTTACAGAACAGTGCTTTATCAGAAGTAAATTCCAAAGGAAAAATCATTGCACACAAAAATAGCTACTTTATCATGTTATACAAGATCTCATCTTGTTTTTTATGAAATACTGATTAATTAACCACCTGACAAGGTGTCGTATTTCCAAATACATTTTTCAGGTAAACCTCCTCTTTCAATAGCATAGCAGGGTAATATCTATTTCACAGACCTAAAGAGTCCCCAAGAGATTTCTTCTGATTACTATTTAAGTACTACTTACTATTATTATACTATACTATATTATACTTACTACTTACTATTACTATACTACTTACTATTTAAGTCTTTGGCACATGTATGCTGTTCTACACTAACAGAGGCCTCTGACAAATGTACACATCCACTTCTGTTGCATTTTCCTTAGGAAGTTGCCTTTTACCATGTTGATTTCAAGACTGTTGAAACAAAGGGGTGAGTTTTCCCATTATTTCCAGCCAAAGAGGTACCATTCTTGTTGCAAATAGAGAAGTCTCTTTGAAGAATTCTGATATTCCTAGCCTTGCACTAAAAAGGCAGAGCCTTCTGCTACTACTTGTTTCCTCAGGGGTGGAGATAATAATAGTACATACCCAGGATTTTTCCTGTGTTTTGTAGAAACATGTTATTAAACAGCTCATCTTGTATGATGCTGGTCACATGTGCATCACGTGTGCTGTATAATCACCAGAAGTTTCATTGATCCTAAATGCTGGGAAATGCTGTCATAAAATTATGACTACACTTTACATTATTTGTTAGAAAAATGCTGTTGTAACAGGATGTGTCAGTTAATTGCAAGGATACACAAATGATGCAACTCTGTAAGATTCTTTTGTCTTAAATCAAGGGAAGAGCAACTTTTTTTTGTCATTAAAGAGAATTTAAGGAAAATTAGTTGGAAATTGCAGAAAATATTGGTGGTTTATTCTAGAAAAAAAAGAGGGGTTTTGCAGGTCAATTTGGGGTTTGATGCCACACTGTGACCTGGTTTCCTTGTCCAGAGTGTATTGACTTTTCAGAGACTAAGGCTGATTTGTCATGGAGGCTATGTAGCATACCCAAGAAATTTAGCCTGTACAATAGAATGTGAGCATAAGGCTGCTTGAAACATGCCATTTTGTTTAAGTCCTCTTTAGAAAAAGAAGCAAAGTTGCTAAACCTGGAAGAATTCCTCTCAGGAATAATTTCTGCAGAGTTCTCTTCAAGGCAGACATACAAATTCAGAAGCATTAATTTGCTGTTAGCACAGTTTGGATGAGAGTTCTTTGCTGTAGCACCATGAGATTTTGTTTCCTGGGAGGGAGGTGGGTTCTGTCACAGCTCAGGTCAAAGCCTGCTAACAGAGTTGACTCAATTGGCAGCCAGGTAATGACACAGCAAAGCAGGTATGGAGGAGGTGGCTGAAAATACATGGAGCTCATACTTTGTATGCTTTGAGGGAGAGGTGCTGAAAAGCTCCTTTGTTGTGCAGACTGTTGGCCTTCGAGACACTTAAATCTCTGTAGATGTGTCAGAGAACAGGGCACACCACTGTGATGGCTCTTTATGGCCACAGTTGGTCTCACTGTGATATTGTGGTGATGCTGCCCATGAAGAGGAGCTCCTTGTGCAGAGATTGATGGGGAGTAGCAGCTCAGCTTTCCTGCAGTGGCCAGCTGAAGCAGCTTTGCAAGGGTGTTTTGCTGGCAGTGAAGAAATTCAGCTCACTCTGGCTGCTCCCTGAGGCTGGCTAGTGTTCCTGGGGTTGCCCCTTGGAATGGTTAGGGAGGCATTGCTCACATCTGGCTGCAGTGACTCAGGGTTGTTTGGGAATCAGCAGGTGGAATGTCTTGGCAGTGTCAGTGGTACACGTGGCTGGTGTCACCGAAACCACGGGAAAACAAAAGCTCTCCAACAACAATCTTTAGTGCTAGAGAAGTAGGGCATTACTTTATTCTTGCCAGGGTGTTGTTCTGGCCAGGATGTACAACAGAAACCAGTTCATCCACACATTGCCCTGGTTATGCAGAGAAACTAATTTCATCACACAAGTCTTTGTTAGATTTTTCACATTCGTCAAAACCCAGAGAAATCCATTGGTTCAATGTTCACTGCTCCCAAGGTCTTAGTATTTGCTTTCCTATTGGTTATTGGTTTGCCTTTAATGTTGATTAGTTTCTCATTCTTCATTCTCTCATCTATCCCTTCCCAGACCAGAAGTCTTGGACCATGTCAGGGGTGATGTTTGGAGCTGACATTCATTAATGGTTGTTATCTTTTGTGTGTCTTCTTTTTTTGTGTGCTGCTCCCAGTCTGCTGAGATGTTAAGCTCATCAGACCTGGAGTGGTGGAACAGTCCTTTGAAAAGAAACTTCAATTCCTTTCCCCCTGGGCAAAGGCAAACAAAACCCCTGACTAAAGTTATATTAAAAAATTCTAAATTTCATATAATTTCCATCACTGGGAACTATGACTTGGACAGAAGAAAATCCTTAGGGTGTGGGTAATGGTAATTCATTCTTTCATAAGGTTCATTTATTGGAGCTGGCCAATAAGCAGAGACTAAAACTTCTTTTGAATTGATTAGAATAATGGTGCTCAGCAAAGGAGAGTGTGACTTTCTCAGGCAGAGGAAAAATTCCAATGTAACAATTTAGGAAAATTATGCCTATAATTCTTTGAAAATGCTGCTGTACTGAATTGCCTGCCCTGAGTGGGACTCAGGCTCATACCTTCAGGGCAGCGGTGAAGACTGTTCTGACTTGGACACCAAAGGTGTTTTTGCTTCATAAGCCAGGGTTTTTGTTTGTTCTGATGTTCAGGGGTGGTGGTGGTGATTGCTGCATCACTGCAAAACTTTTATTGGGTTCCCTCCCAGCAGGAGAGGGGGAACTTTGCTAGGGTTTATGGTGTGGCATGACAAGCAAACTTGATGCATTGGCTACAAAGAAGTGTTCAAGAGAGCAGGCTTTGCAAATTTCATGGTTGGTTGCTGCTCAACAAAATGTTTCCCTAAAGTCTGGCTAGCAAATTCTGCACTTCTCAGGATACAACCTTAGTGCTAATCTTACATACCTTAAAATGAGTTTTTGCCCTTGTACCCAGAATTAGATTGGTGTTCTACCTAAGCTGAAGGGTTGCAAGGCAATTATTTTTTAATTGAATTTTTGTGTTCAAGTGGAGTCCAAAACCTAATGTGAAAAGCAGCCACCCACTCCCTTCTTGCTCCCTTCTTGCTTCATTGCTTTTCATCCTCCACGGTATCATAATGCTGGCTTAGTATCCCTTCTGAAATAAAACTCTTGCATGTGGAATTCTTCTAATTTTTTTTTGGGGAAGGTAAATGGTACGAACAGCTAAATAATTTAGTTCTTGTAAGATGTTGTATAATGCACAGAGGCTGCAAATTTAATCCATTTAAATGAAAAGGCTAGCCAAACTGGAAGGTTTTGTACTGGCACAAAACAGGAATTACTCTTCCTCTGAGAACCTTTATACGTGGCCCCAACCCTTACTTGTTCCTTTGTGAGGGGAAGTCCAGATAGGATGCGATTTTACAAAAAAAGAAAAAGTTTGTAATCTCTGGTGACTAAACTTGCCCTGGCTTCTTTTCCACGCCTCTTCCACTCACTTGATGTCATACTATTTTTGTCCCTTTCTAGCTCATTGACACAATTGCCTCAGAAATCGGAGAACTGAAACAGGAGATGGTACAGACAGATCTCACAGTGGAAGATGAACCTGCTGATTGGCGAAGGTGATTAAAATGTTTATTTTTATGGTTCTGGAGAGTCTACCACAACTGGAATGTTTTCACTGTGCTTTCTTCTTGAGTGGCTTATGTCCTAGCACTTTTCTCCCTGGCAGCATAGGAGGTGTAGATAATCTTGCTCTTGATCCAAGGAATTTGCCTTTATGCAGGAGATTGATTGTTTGGTGTATTTACCTTAATATCTTCTAATTGCAACTGAGTTTCACTTACTTGTTAAAAACCTTGGATACTGATGAATGTCTAAAGCAGGAAACTACTACCATTATTACCATTGTCTGTGGCACAGCTTTGCTTTCACACTGTAAAGACAAAATGTCCATTGCTTCAAGTGGCTCTTGGAAGACTCAATATGCAATAACATGACTTATTTATGCTCTCAGGTTAGGAAGTAAAATATTGAATACTATGAGCTGATGCATATGTGGGTTATGTGTTTAAGTTAATTTATATATGAGTAACTTGCAAATAAAAAAATAAAATTGTACCTTTAAGTGGGCAGAATGGGAGCCCAGCACTTTGGCTTTTCTTGAACAGTTACATCTGCTAAACATCTGGAGGATAATCAATATTTTAGTCCTTGTGTTAACAAGAGAACACATTTTTGTACTTACCTGAAATGTTTGTTGCAAGAGGAAAGCAACCAATGGTGGGTGTTGTGTTTTATCTGACTGCATGGTCTTGGCCAGCCCTGGAGCTGGTGGGCTTTGTTCTTCTAGCAGTGAGTTAATGAAGTGGAAAATTGTTTTTAGAATTATATCCAAGATTTTTAGCTCTTTTTCTTCCAGTGAATTCTATTGAAATCTGCTAGAACTTAAAACAAAGCATATGCAGATTATTTTCAAAAACATTAAGCAGCAGCTTTGTTGGCCAAGTAGTAAAGAATGTAAGACAGTTGAACTAATTAAAGTTCTTGGCTATGGCCCTGGTTGAACATTACTCCAGTTTTAAAGCTTTTGAGAGCACAGTTCTTTTACAGGGGCAGAAAGGATACTTTCTTCATTTTGTGAATTCAGCTAATTAACTTCAGCTACTTTTCAGTTAAGAAAATGCTTCTTGTATCTTTGAATACATCATGTGCATGAAAGGCTAAGGCCTACTGATTCTAAAATCTTGGTGGAAGCACTTAGCTGCAACAGTCAAGTAAACCTGCCATTTTACAGATCATGAGTTTTGATTGATTTTTTAAATGGATTTTCAATCTTAATTTGTTCATCGTGACTGCAAAACATATTTTGGTTTAAGATATATAGGTAAACCTATCATAAAAAAGTGAATAATGCAATTTCCATGAAAAATAATAATATCCATCAAAAATTATGTTATGTCACTTCAAGATGATAATGTGAAATAGGAAATCTGAATAAATGAGATAAAGTCAAACCTACTATGACTACAAAATTCTGAACTGCATGCTTCTATGTAAGGAAGAAGTTGTATCAAAGTTGGTAAGTTAAGTAATTTAGTTGTGCACCGACACTTTTTTTATAATATAGTGCCACAGAGCAAGATCATAGTAATTTCAACAAGAGCTTTCCAGAGTTCTTGTTTAAACTAGACACCTCACAAGGCTGTGTTTACTGTCATAACTTTATTTCTTTTTAGCTAATTTAAAACTTGGCAGTTAATGGAGTTTTCTCTTCTTATTACTTTCTGCTGTTCAGAAGTTGGTGTCTTGATATGACCTTTGAATTTGCATCCAGGGATATTTGAGCTCAATGGAATGTCCATTCTCCTTGATTTTTTTCCACCTTAGCAGGTATCCAGACACCAGCAGTTCTGGAAAGGCAGGCATTGCAGAGCTGTCTGTTGAATTCAGAAAGATAAGGATATGAAATTGTGTGTCTGCAGCCTTAGTATTGTGGTTTGGGTTTTTCTGTGGTTATGTGGTGACTTTCAGATTTATGCACCTCATCTTATATGCTCCTTGATTTTGGGCTCATTTCTCCTTTTTATACAATATGGCCCAAGTAATATCAAGAATGATTCAAGGGCTCACTTTGGCTTGTAAATATGTAAAAGTCAGGCCAAAAAAAAAGGCTTGCAAAAATGTATTTTAAGAGGGACTGTTTCATATCCCACTTTTTTGATGCCTCACCTTTTTTGCAGTACAGACATTTGTCTCAATAATAATAATCTCAAAATGAGAAGAGTTGTCACAAAAGGCAATTAGTGGGACAGATTTCTGTCATGCCATTCCTGTGACCTTTGAAAGAGTAACAAGAGAACTTCTGCATGCAGTGGCAGCCCAGGAGCATGTGGGACAGGTCTGGTGGCACCTGGATGATCTTTTAGGAGGCCGCCTGCACATCTGTGTGGATGTCCATGAGGGGCCAACGCTTCCTGCTGTCCTTCTGGAGGGAAGGCTGTAAAGCTTCAGCCTTCCCAGGGCACTTAGTGCCTGTGGAATTGTTCAGGGATGCTTTGCTGGTGGTGGCAGCTGCAGCAGCTTATTCCCTTCCTTTTCTATTCCCATGGAAGGAACAGGGCAGAGCTTTGCTCCCTGCCTTAGGTCCCTCACACTGCTGTCTTTTCCACAGCAGTTACTTGCTTCACTAGAGCCATCTTCTGTCCAGCACAGAGAACCATTTCTGTTACTGCTGACAGGTTGGCAAGTATCCAGAAACCTTCTTCCCAGCTGCCCTGTCTTCCTTTTAGCTGTAATGGGATGCAGGAGGAAGTCACCAGTGGCTCTCTGCCTCTCCCAGCTGATGCTCAGTATGACTGTATGGACTGGGCTGGGGTGATTAGGAGCTGGTAGATTTACAGAAATCCAGGCATTTTGCAGTGGATAATCAAACTGAGTTAACTGTGAGGTCGTTAACTGTTGTGGGACTGGAGTAAGGTTCACATCATGACCAAGGATCATCCTGGTTAAAAGATTGAGCCTGATCCTTGTCTTTTTTACTGTGAGCTAAGTCTAATCAGGATGCAGCACAGCATTGTTTATCTTGGTAATTACGTCTCTGTAGTTCCCACGTGTTTATGGGTTTGCTCAAATCTAAGGAAACTTGCGTGAGTCATGTGTTTTCTTTAGTTCATTGTGAGTAGTGTTGAAACCTACCTTTCCCACTGAAGAGGAACTTGAATTAAAGCAGACCATTCATTAAGGCAGATTTGTGTTTCAATTTTGAGTTTAATGTGACCTGGTCAGATTGTCTTTTATCAAGAATATTTTTTTTTTTTTCCTTCAAAATCCCAAACAAATAACACAAGCCAACCAACAAAGCATCCTCCAACCTGAAAGTAAAACCAGGAGAGGAATTTAGTTGTTGCATAATATACATATTTTGTGAGGATATTTTGCTGGCATTTAGGTTACAGCAACTTCTTATTCTTGTTCAGTACACGTGAGTTAATCCATTGCTCATGAATTCAAATGGTTATTCTTTCCACGCAATTGTTTCCAGAGTAGTTACACACACATCCCAGTCCCAAATAATTTTAGTCTAACTCTTAACACATAATGAGTTTCGAGAGCTCCCATGCATTGTCAGGGTTTGACTGTATGTCTAATGACCAGATCATTAATTAAAATTATTTTAAGAATAAAAAAAGCAAACTGGGAATATGATGTTCAGTAGTGCTAGGCCACTACAAATAGTTACTGCATTTTCTCCCAGGCCTTGGGAACTGTCTTCTTGTAGGTTGTTTGTGGTTTGCCAGGTATGTTTTTCCAAGGTGTGCTTTTTCCAGAGTTTACCAGGTTAGATGTTTCTCTCTGCCTCCTTCTTTATTATCTGGGAATAGGAAATAATTTTTTTAAAGTGTTTCATATTCCTGTTTACCTCACCACAGATTGCAATAACATTCTAGTGCTGATTTATCTGAGTTGCATTGGTGTTGTTTGAACCATTAGCGTTTAGGAGTGGCAGAAATTCTGGTCATGATCAGATATTCATAATCTTTGGCTTATTTCTTTGGGAGCAGAATCAGCTGCCCCAAGGAGGTGCCTGTGTATGTAGGTCAGAGTTTCCTCCTTGGATCTCAGAATGTGGAAGAGATTGAGCACATAAATACCTGGAAGTTTGAAAACCCTGATAGCCCCCCATTCAGATTTATGGTGATGGGACAGCACAAAGCAAGTCAAACCAGAGAGGAACATCATGACCCTGCGTGCCTGTGCAAACTCTTGCCAGCTTTAGATGGTTTTGTGATAGCAAGCAATGCCAGTCACACACCTTCTTTTGAATGTCAGGTAGCTGTCTTTAGTAGGCAAAAAACTTTTCTCTCTTGGATATATTCCCCCTTGCAGCATGTTAAGTTTTCACCTCCAGACCAAGGGGAGTGGAAATGATTTGCATCTGTCTAAGCTTGCAGCCAGCATTTGGTGTATAACTTTGTCACAGCTCCCTGTGGTTTGTAATGCAGCTAACTGGCACTGAGGGTGAGTGGGAAATTTCTGAGCAGTATTTACTGGAGGTACAGCTCAGGAAAATGCTTTTGTGGTTCACGATTTGACTTCTTGGAGATTCATCCATTGCAACACGGGCTGGTTGAAAAGGGAACCCGGTATTCCTACGGAGGCAGTTTCAGACCCAGTCTGAATGACTGATGTAAAAAGTACTTCCCTCCTGCACCCCATGTGTATCTGTGTATTTTGTGTCCCTTGAAGGCATACTGGCAGTTAGTAAAAGCTTCTGATGTTTGTGGGCAGGGGTGGGAAATCATCTACATTTGAGATGCCTTGGAATCCGAAAAGCATTGCATCATAAGTAAGCAGACAGAAAGAGGAAAAAATAAAGAGGCAAACAATGGTGATGGTAATTGATCCAGGTAATGAAATGTCAAATGATTTTGTCTGTTCTTATCTGATCATACAGTGAAAGTGCTATTCCCCATTTACTTTCCTTGCTTGCCCTGTGCAAAGATTCTGCAAGTTGCTGAAGAAAGCTAGAAGAAAGCAGTGTGGTTGTTTGGTTTTTTTTTTTTTTCCTTTTTCTGTTGCGTGGTTGGTGGGTTTTAATTTGGTTCAGCTTGTTTTCTTTGGTGTGGGTTTTTTTGCAGGGGCAGAGAAGCTTTTTGTTTGTTTTGAAAGTATGCAGTGCTGCTGTGTTTGTGAACTCTGTACCTACTTGCTGAGGGTACAGTAGCTGGCATAATGAGGATGGTAAATGCTGTTAGTGATGCTTAGGGCCTGTCCAATGCACAGAATTCAGAAGAGCTGCACAGTGTGCAGTGGGGAAGTGGAGCTGTGTTAACCTCTGCTGCCCAGGGCCTCACCTGCTGCAGAAAAGGTCTGTAAGGGGAACACATCCTCTGCCTGACAGCTCAGGGAGTCACTCGAGCTTGCAGGGTGTTTTTTGGCTGTTCCTGAATTTTGTCATCAGGAAGCTGCTACCAGAATAACTGCTCCATAGTGATTTCTAGCATGGGGAGAACCACAGGATGTACTTCTAGCTCAAAAATCAGGAATTGTAGCCAGCAACACTACTGGGTGTTCTGTATTATAGGATGATGGTGAAGCTTTGCATAACAAAAAGAGTTCTCAAAGGATTCTGTTTGTTTACATTTTTAATAACAAGAATCTGCAGCCTCCAAGAACTCTACTTCATTACTGGATGTAGCAGTAACTTTAGATGCCCTGCTCCAAATGAATTTTAACCTTACATTACCTTGCCACATTCACACTTAGCTTAGACTTGATTTCTCACATAGCAGTCAATCCACAGCCAAAGGAATTTGGAGCATAAATATACAATTCCTTATTTGTTTCTGATCCTGGAAGTGTAGTATTAAAATGAGAGGTAAGGACCTTTCATGGCAAAAATGGAAAAAAAAAGTAAATATTTACAGAACTTAGCAGGAGTATGATAAGAAGTGACTGTCACTTAGGACATTTTTTTAAGGAAGCTGTGCCGTAGGGAGGATTATTTGGGGGTTTAACTTTTTTTTTTTTATTTCTTTCTTGTGTTTCTCACCTCCTCCCAGTCTGACCTCTTAGCAGAGGGGAGAAAAGATGGATATGCAGCTGTGAAGGCAGCAGAGCTGTTGGAGCAGAGACAGTAGTCTGGGCATAAGGTGAAGTGATGCTGGTTTCTGGACTTGTGTTGTGAAAATAATCCCTCCAAACAGACAAAGTACTTGTGTCTGTGCAGTGATCACCAGTAGGTAGTGGGTTGCACCATTGCCAGAGTATTGAACAGATTTTTCTGGCAGGCATGAGAGAGCAAAATTTCTGTGGGTTGCAGCATTTGCAATCCATGTGGGAATAAAAGTGTCTGAATTGCATAAATATCCTTGAAGAGAAGTTTTTCCATGTATTAGCACAGCAAAGAAGGCAAGTGAAATGTTCTTTCAATCACATCTGCACATGCAAATCTACCTGAAGTGATGGCTGAATTTCTCCTACCTCACAGAGGAATGCTGAGGCTTATCTTCAAGCTGGCTTTGAATTGAGAACCTTTAAAAGAGAATTTTTGGGTATGTTAAATATAAGAATTCTCAGTAGGAGAAGTACCAGCCCAGAGTGTCAGCAGTGCCATGAGCTTTGTGGTAATTCTGTTCTCTGACCTAAGTGATTGCTCATAGGAGGTTAGCATGTCTAATTTTTTTTTTTTTTAAATTTTCCACAGTCTAATAAAGGATATGGATAATGTCTCTCCTGAGAAAAATGATGTAAAAAGCTGCCCCCGGGACTCTGGATATGACAGCCTATCCAACAAGCTGAGCATATTGGACAAACTCCTCCATACTCACCCTGTGTGGCTGCAGCTTGGTCTGAACGATGCTGAAGCCATGGAAATTTTGCAGACACAGCCTCCTGGGGTAAGAAGAATCTCAGTTTCTTTAAGGACATGCTTTTCCACATTTGTGAAATTTCCAAATTTCACAAATGGTTTTGCTGCCATTTAAGACCCAGGTGTTGGACTCAGTACAGTAATGACCAAGTAAAATTACAGTATGTTTTAGAGCAGACATCATGAGGTTGTTGTGGTTCCTTTTTGTATATGATCTGTATTCATTCTGGCATCTGTGATGAAGCTAATACCATGTCCTTCTGCCTTCCCCACAACAGATATTTCTGGTTAGGAAATCTGCAAGGCTGCAGAAGAAAGTCATCTCTCTTCGTCTGTCCAGTGACTGTGGGTCCTGCCTGAAAGAATTTGCCATAAAAGAAAGTACATACAGTAAGTTGTGAGTTCCATACTTTTCAGCTGTTCCTTGGGTACTTTTTCCCTATAGGATGCAGGAGCACTTGCACTGCTGAAATCCACAGCAGAGGATACCCAAAGTCATGCAAATAATGTCATGGGCTGCCTGTGCTGCTCTCTGAGGGGGCTCTGGGAGTGGGTCAGGCATATTCTGCCAGGAGGAGAGCAGACATACAGAAACACTTGAGACTGCTTCAGCTGGAATGTTTCCATTGTGTACCTTGATGAATCCAGTATTCATTTATGTTTATGGGTAGTTATCCTCTTAGAAACTTACATGTCTTTTGTAGAAACATGGTCTGTAATCCTGTCTGCTTTCAGTGAAATGTCCTTGCATTTCCTTGTACTCAGGGGACTGTTCTTGAATGCAACTTTGTCATGAGCTCTCTGCAGCTGAGGTGTGGGATGGGTAGTTAGGTTTGTTTTTGTTGGTGGTGGGTTTTGTTGTTGGTTTTTTTTGATTGTTTGGGGTTTTTTTGTGTGTGATAGCTAAATGGATTTTAACCTGTTAGAACTGTTTCTGTTGCAAGGTCAGTGATTTCTCTTTTTAATTCAAACTATATTTGTTCTTTCTTTTTTAGTAGAAATGAGCAAATGTTAACACTCCAAATTGTTTTGAACCAATAATACCCTCATATCTTTAGAAGGGAGGGTGTGAAAAATAAGTTTGAGATTTAGGAATGAAAAAAAGGAAGCTGCAGCTGGTGAGTGTACGTGGTGCTGAAACTGCAAGTGGAGCAAATATTTCATTTTAACAAGAAAGAGAAAACTGAAGAAAATTAGCAAAAGTTACAGTTAATCATCCCTGAAACAGAAAGTCTATATTTAACTTCTATTTCTATTTGTAAACTGACATAATTTTAGTTGAGTTTTTCCTTTTTTATCTCTCCCTCCCCTGCACCCAGGAACAAAAAGTTAATTCTATGTGTCTGGTTTTAGTTCCAGTTACAAGCAAGGCAAGACAAAGAGAAAGTTGTCAGTAATAGCTGATGTAAGTGTGGTCTAAGGCTGTTTATAGGCTTGTTATAGTAATAAATTCCTATCTAGAAAATAATTACATACTGTCTTTTATGAGCAAAATTCTTCCACAAGGGGGAAGTATTTACTGATGGTTTTAGCCATGTTTTAGACCAGAGGCAAAAATCTGGATCATTTCACCCTAGGAGCTTCTTCTGCTTGACTTGTGAGGTTTGCTACTGGCATCAGAGAGAGCTTGATGTGATTGTCATTATTACTGACAGCAAGTATTTGTATCAATAAGAAACCGTGGTATCAAGTGGGGAAAAATGGAAGGCACTGCTCCTGTCTTCCTCTTCCCTTGTGCAAGGCAATGGCATGTGACAGCTGTTGGAGGTTTTTAAGGGTTTTCATGTTAAAAGGTTTTCTTGGAATGAATGAAAATCTATCTCCCTTTAGGTTCTACACACCTAGAGTGAAGTGAGTAGAATAGAATTCAAGAGGAGGAAATAAGACATTTAAAGTTAGGTATATTAGTACACTGGGCAAAAAAAGCCACAGTTATTGATTTGTTGTCTATTAGCAAAACATTGTGCAGGCCTCATCACAGTTAATCTGTTTTACAGGAATTAGACCATATCCTTGGAATACAAAAGCAGAGCAGCCACCCAGATTATCAGTATATTCTTGAAAATGCCTTCAGCAGGAATATGTACTCCTCTACAGAGTTTTCTCTTAATCAAATAGTAGCTAGTTTGATGGTGAAAACTTACTAACTTCATGCTAAAATCTAAGATATATTTTATTAAACTGTTTTAAGAAACAGTGGATTAATGTGTGATTGTTTCTTGTAACTTTCTTTGCAGCGTTTTCCTTGGAGGGGTCTGGAATAAGTTTTGCTGATTTGTTCAGACTCATTGCTTTCTACTGTATTAGCAGGTAAGATGGTGCTGTGTTCCAAGCCACATCTGCTAGACCATCTCAAGAAAATGAGTTTTGAGGAGCTGGTTCAGACATTGATGCTATTTACGTTGCCAATCTGCAAATATTCCTGGATAGCCTAGAAAGTAATGGTAGAGATCAGAGATGAGTCCTGGAAGCAAGTGTCTCTGTCTTACTTCATGCCGGTTATTGGGAGGCTGGTGTGATTTTACCCACCCAGCTGTGAGGTGCTGCCAAGCTGAACTTTATTTTAGCTGATATCCTGTGATGCTTTCTTAAGTGCTCTGTAGCTCATTTAAAAACAATCATAAACTAGCTTGCAAAATCCATTTCTTGGAATTGCTGGTAAGAAGAATTTTTGGAGCATAATGGAAAAATGTCAGATATGTAGAATATGACAACTAGGAGATGTCAGTTTAAATGGTGAACAACAAAAATAGCCTTGTCAGCTTTGCAGTTTATGGTTGCCAAACTTGTTTTCCAGATAGTATGCAGAAAAAAAGTAGCTGGTGTTTTTATCCTTTATTTTCAATTTGACTTCACTTTACTGGTGAAAACTTCCAGACTGATGCTTGAACCTTGTATGTACACACAGACAGGACACAACCCAACTGCCCAGGTGCACATTTTCTGAAGGAAGTGGGGAGAGGCAGCTGTGATAGTCTTGGTCCTTTTACTGCATCAAGGCTGCCCCTTCATGCTGGCCATGTGATGATTTCTGGAGTGGGATGTTCCTGGGCTGCTGTGCTTGCTGGTTTTGTTTGTGGTGGAGAAGCATCTTGGACCCTTTTGCTACAGCCTCAGTTTAGCTGGGATGTACATGCATGTAATAAAAGCAGCATTGATAGTACACGGGTAATTGGTCAGAACTCAGAAGAGAAATTAGCTGAAAATGCATTTAAATGTAGTTGATTGTGGAGATACTTCTTATCTTGTCACCTTTTCAGTCCTGCCTACTTGCCAGGCTCTGGTAAATTCTAAGTACCTTCAGGATCATTCAGCAAACAGAGATTTCTTGCATTAGTCTATCCATTTTCTTTCACTGAATGTTCAGTATTGCTTTGTATAGACTAAAGTAGGCAGATAGGTAGCTATTGTGAAAAAGAGACAGCACCATTTGGTACATCACAGGAAATCCAGGAGGATTTTCTAAAACCAGAGGGAATTTCTGGCAGGAGGTACCCAAGCAGTTTTTATGAGGGTTTACCTATTTTTGAGTTGCAACCCATGGTGATGATCTGGACTCTGGATTTTCTGTGGTACCATGTGAAGTGCCTTTCAAATGCTTTTCAGCTAGTGTATCAGTCTTGTGCATATGCTTGGCTTGAGTGTGAGTGGAATTCTGAGATCCTGTTTTTTCAAGAAGCTAACATACAACATAGAGAATATTTATGTGATAAAGACCCATTATCTGTCTGTGCTAGAGCAGATGGTTGGCTTGTTCACAACCTTAAAACCAAATTTCGTGCTGACACCAGCTGTAGGATTCTCATTTAGTCTTAATTCTATGGATACTTCTACTACAGATGTTGCTGTTTAGCAACATTTAGTTAGAATAAAATTCTTATTCTGAAAACTGGAATAACAGTAACAGTGTATTCAGAAAGTGAGAAGCTTTTTTGAAGTGTTAGGGCAGGTAACAAGTTTGCATCTCACTGATCTGCTTGTAGAAGACCAGGTGTAAAAGCGTCTGTTGGAAAGGCAGAAAATACTGGATGGCTCTGTGGAAATGATCCTAGGGAAAGTCCTGGGCACTTGACTGTCATTTGCCCTTCACACCACTCTGCAGTGTAAAGGAGCTGTGGGTTTGGTAAAGTAGTGTTTAACTGTGCTGTGTGTTTAAGGATCTTACTACCTGACACAGCTCAAGAAGAAGATAATCAGAAATCAGAGACTGCCAGTGTTTTTAGGAAAAAAAGCTTTTCAAACTATGGATGTTGCTGAAAACCATAATGGTTTTTCTCTTTGGAAACAGGGATGTCCTTCCATTCACACTGAAGTTGCCTCATGCAATTGCTACAGCAAAGACAGAAGCTGAACTTGAAGAGATTGCTCAGCTTGGACTGAGTAAGTAGTTCTCTACAAAGATGTCTCTCCCTGTAGCACATCTGTAACACTGAAGAAATAGGCTGTATCAGTAAATAGTTCATACTGGTTAGTGATGATACAAATTTTGTTTAGAAAAGCAGTTTCTCTTATTTGGGAAGGCCAGACCTTCTTCTGGCCAAGGAGTGGTGCTCTTCCTTCCTTCTGTGCCTTCTGTGATATTTTTGTTAGCATTGTTTCTTTCTTCCTTCTTCTCTTCCCTCTCTGGGCAGCCCTTGGGCAAAGCAAATCTCACAGTCCCCACACAGAGGTTGATGTGGTTTCTGCTTCAAGAGCTAATGTTTTCTGCATGCTCACAGAGCACTGCCGTGTGAGCCTATATAAAGCACTGGCCTTATAATTTATTGTGAGAAGAGTGTAGGAACTGAGGTCCCCTGTTGATAAAACTTTGTTCAGATTGACATGGAAACTTAAAATGGTGAATTTTGAGATCAGTGCCTCGATGAAGTGGCATATTTAGGAAATGAGGAGTGTATATATGATGGTATATATGATGTATCCATGGGCAGGGGTTAGGCGAAATTTTTAAAATATCTTTAAATAAAAGGGTGTCCTTGCATCACTTGGTTGCTTCAGCCAAACACAGGCTCACTGTAAAGCATACTTTGAGCTCAGGGGAGATGGATGCAAAGCCTCCTGGGATTTGAAGCTTGGGCACCACCCAGATGAATCATTAAGCAGCTCTGCATTGAGCAAAGTGCTGAGTGGCTTAATTTCCTTCTCCAGGAAGGGAAGGTTGACTGTCAGCAACCTTTGTTGCAGCAGAGTTTTTAATAATCTTTGATTTTGGAAAGGATCCTCTCTAAATCAGTGTTAGCATGAGGATCTCTTGAATTGTCTGGTGGGACTTGGCAGTACATACCCAGGGATGTGTTGCTGTGCTTTGCATTTTGGTTTGCTGCAGTAGCAGTGCAATTAAAGGGTTTGTTTTAGACAGGAGAGAAATTACTTCTTCACTGCTTGTCTGCAAGTTTAGGTAGTCAGGTGAAACTATGGATTATCATGGGAATAAAGGCAAATATGTTACTATTGAGGTCAGTGTTTAGATGGGAAAAAGAAAGTAAAAGGTCTGACTGGGATACAGTCAGAATGAAGACAGTCAGATATGAAGACAGTCTCCCAGTGACACCTGGAAGCCTTAAAGTAACATGAGGTGAGTCTCTCCAGAGGGGACAATAATGGTAATGTTGATCAAGCTCTCCAGGCTGACCTCACTTTGTCACCAGTACCCCAGAGCACTGTGGCCTACTTGCTGCGGAATTATTTTTGTCTTGAACAGCCTCTGCATTGTGTGTGGTTTTTATGTAGCTACTGCATTTGAAAGATCAGTGTCTGTGTGGTTGCTGTATTTGGGATCAATTACCTGATATACACCCGATCACAGTTTCCATGGGCTAAAAGCAGGCAGCAAAGTTGAGATTTTGGTGGAGTTTTAGGTGTCCATGTGCAGAAGAGCACACCAGAAAGTCAGCCTTTCAATGCTGTGGACTCAAGAGAGGCTTAAAAGCTCCCAACAGCCCTTCCTGTTAAGTGTGAGTTTTCTTTGAGGAACACGGGAGCACAAAATCCCGTGGTGTGTGAACACAGGGCTGTATCCCCTGTCAGAGCTCTCTGCTGCAGTAGGCTCAGAGGGAGAGCTGCACAACACAAGTCAATAACACATAGCCCAGCAAACCACATCAGGAGGAACTTCTGGTAAAGATTTCAAGGCTGTTGCCAACCTGCAAGGTTTCACGTGCTGAACATATGATTCTCTCTCCATCTCCTTTGTGTTTCACCTGCAGCAGTGCTTACATCATGTGTTTTTGCAGCAGCCACGTGCCAGGCACAGGCACTGAGAGATCTGCAGGCAGGATGTGAAGTCATGAAGCTGGGAACACCAGCAACATGGCATAACTATGCAGAGAAACATGCCTGTGCCTATAGACATTCTCTGGCTGTGGCCTGTCACCGTGGGCTATTTCCTGTCTTCTGCCCCACAGGCATGGTTGTTGGGCATGGACCTGTTGTGGATGCTTGGCATTCATGCACTTGGGCCCAGGTATCATTGCTCAGTTGCCTCCACTGAACCATCTTGACACACTATGGGAAAAGGACCATGTCAAGATTGGCAAATTCTAGCTAAATCTCCCTTCTTTGGTATTATGCCCTTATTTCAGCATGATTGCTGCCTTCAAGGGCACATCTGGTTTCAATCTTCATACCTTCAGGCACCGATGCTCTTTAGCAGTGGCTTGGTTGCACAAACATGCTGACACTTGTCTGGGATAAGTGCAGAGGCTGCAGCTGCAACTTGCTGCTGTAGCATAGGTTTTCATGCTGCTCGTGTGGGACTGCACGCTGGGTCATTTATGTGTCACTGCAGTCCATATTCTCAGGCAAACTGTCCCCACAGCAAAGGCAGGGCAGCAGGCCAGTACCTTCATTAGACACTTGAACGCTTGGTCTGCCTTGCTAAAGGTGATGTGTGCATCCACCACAGCAAAATGTGAGATGCCTTTTCATGTATGGTTTCATGTGTTCACTATGAAAAGAAACTGAACCAAGATACTTGTAGAGTTTCTGGAAGTGGCTTTTAGCTGGTGTAAATCAGCTTAACTATTGTCTTTAATGAAGTGAGCTTATTAATGCCAGCTGAGAATCTTGCCTTATTTCTCCTGAGTGAGATGCTAGTGAGAAGTTTGTGTTCATTTCAGTCTCAAGCCAGTAAAAAGTATTCTGTTACAGTCTCCATTCCTTTCTTTGATTCTCAGTTTAATTTTAAGCTTAGTGGGCTGATTGGAAGCTATGTGTTGGTCATGGTATTTATAAATGAGTGAGAGCAGCCTCAGGAATGTAGCATACAGTTATGTGTGGTGGTACTTTAAGAGGTTCACTTGGACTTTTTTTCTCCTTTTAATTACTAAAACCTTGCCTAAATTTCTTGATATTTTAAACCGGTGTTGTTGAGTTGAATGTTCTGAAATCCATCTGCATGGTGTTTTGCATTCTTACGTTAATGCAATGATGATTTTCAGACTTTTGGAGCTCCCTGGCTAACAGCAAACCCCCGGATCCTTCACCTCCCTGTAGGCCTGTGCCTTTGGACCGTGCTCGCAAAGACTCACGCCAGCTCTGCCTTATAAATGGAGTGCATTCTATACGAACCAGAACGCCTTCAGAGCTGGAGTGCAGCCAGACCAACGGAGCGCTGTGTTTCATTAATCCCCTCTTCTTAAAAGTGCACAGCCAGGATGTCAGTGGAAGTCTGAAAAGGCAGAGCCCGAGAGCTCCAGACGTGAATGGCACAGCGAGGCCTCGCTCCCCCCCGCCCCGGCCACCACCTCCTGCTATTAATAGCACCCTCACGAGCCCACAGATTTCCAGGACTATAAAACAGGCGAGCATGCCAGAAACAGTCAGCCATAAGAAGGAGAGGGGCTTGGATTTGCTGCAGAACAAGCCCACCCCGATTCCGCCTCCTCGGCTGAAGAAGCAGGCTGCGTGCTCCGAGGCAGACAGTGCCTGCAGGAGCGCGGCTGCGCCCCGGCCTGACTCCGTGTGCGTGCCCGAGGCGGCCGCGGTTCCGCGGGAAGCCCTGCCCGAGCCGGCTCCAGCAGCTCCCAAAAAGACTCCGGCTGCCATCTCTGAGTCACACATCCCGTGGAATGGAGGCAGGCAGAGACTGAGCGACATGAGCATTTCCACCTCCTCCTCTGACTCCCTGGACTTCGATCGGAGCATGCCGCTCTTCGGCTATGAGGGGGACACCAACAGCAGCCTGGAGGACTTTGAGGGGGAAAGTGACCAGGAGAGCATGGCACCCCCTTTGAAGCCCAAGAAGAAAAGAAGCAGTTCGTTTGTTCTCCCCAAGATTGTGAAATCTCAGCTACGGAAAGTCAGTGGAGTTTTCAGTTCCTTCATGACCCCTGAGAAGAGGATGATTAAGAAAATTGCAGAGATGTCCCGGGACAAACGTACCTATTTTGGATGCTTAGTACAGGACTATGTCAGTTTTCTCCAAGAAAACAAGGAGTGCCATGTTTCGAGCACTGATATGCTGCAAACAATTCGTCAGTTCATGACCCAAGTCAAGAACTACTTGTCCCAAAGCTCCGAACTTGATCCCCCAATCGAATCACTGATTCCTGAAGACCAAATAGGTAAGAAACACTGTCCTGTGTTTTGGGGGGAAGGTGAAAATGTGTAATCTGTGTTTACAGTGATAGTCTTTGTCCAGTTCAGGAAGGTGGGGCTAACTTGGCTAGTAGAGCTTGAACCACCGAGTATTTGAGTCTTAAAACAACCTCCCCCTCTATTCCCCACCCCAAATCACACTGTCAGCTTGGAATGATTACACTACAAAGTTGTTTACAAGAAGTTAGCCTTAAAATAGATGCAATGCAGACTTTTTTTACCTGTGATTATTACTTTTTTTAACCTGCTCTACTGTTGACAATAGAGAATCCTTTATTTGCTGGCACATATGTATTTTTCTCTGAATGGGACTGACATAGTTCTCAAGGGATGGTCTAAAACTGCCAAATGTGACCATAGGGATTGTAGCTGTAGAAGCAGAATTTATTCAAAACCAATGACATTTAAGAGCAGAGAGACATTTTATGACAGCTTAGTTTTGTAATAAATCTGATTCCTCCAGACATTCTTAGTCACTTCTAGCAAAGCTGTACTATCCCTGCACTTGAAACTGAATAAAAAGATATGTAAGAGTTTTAGAAAACAAACATGTGCAGGAGAGAGAAGGGGCTGCTGTTTTTTGGAGTTTTCTGCACTTCTCTGTTAGATGTGTTTGTGAGTGGTTAAGGATGAGCTATATGCTAGAATATATGTTTTAACAGGAGAGACAGATTTGTGTATCCAAAAAAGTGAAATCATTGCTGCATAAATCTCGCTGCCTCTCTTGCAGAGTCTGAGCAGTATTTGTAAAAGAGCCTGTAAGCCACATTTAAGAGGTAAACACGCCTCAGGGCAGAATACTTTCCTTGTGAGCTCACTTCAGTCCTAATTTGTTTGTTTTTCTCCCTACCCCAGTGTCCCAACAGTTGGCTCAGTGCAAAATTGGCAGATACTTCCTTCCCTGGGACTAGAGGGTAATTTTATATTGACATTCTGTCTGTCCTTGACCAAGATGAAGTATTCTCATGTAACCTCAGCTTCATGTACACAAAGTCAAGCAAAAGTCACAAGGACTGCTAAAGCAAATATAAAAATGTGAAAAGTGTCCCCAGTATTGAGACTCAGAAACATGTAATACTCTCCCAATAATAATAAAGACTGTTAGGTGGGTGTTAGATGGAAGAAAAAGCACCAAATTAAGCAGGAGATGCAGGCATATGTTTGCCTGCCTTTCTGTAGAGTGCTGGATTTTTGACAAAGCAATACAGATCAAGTTTGGTTGTAATTTTGTGAAAGCCTGGGTTATTATGTAGTTTTCATTTCACAAGGGTGTGGTTTAATCGGACTGTGGGTCTCCCAAGACTGGAAAAAATGTTGTCTGCTATTAAATGGTTCAGACTTTGGAGTAGCATAAGCTGGGAAGTATAAGAACTAAAACTGCCCTGGTTTTCTTCAGTGACAGAAGGTCTGGTTTTGATCATGTGACTAAACACAATTAATTTATAAAGTGGGCCGGTTTAAACAAAGAAAGAACTTGCTTTTGAATCATATACTGCCTTTGGCTTGAGCCAGCAAACAACTGCAGTGGATCAGCAGCATCAGATGTTGCTGATCTAAGTAGATAATTATGTGATGGCAAAATTTAGTCATCCCTGTGGAGAGCTTTTCATGAGGTAGAGCCCTGCCTGTTGTCCATAGTTTTCCTTGACTATTTCAATATGGAATTGCAGCCCAAATTTTAACTTGGTGAGCAGTCGTTTATCCTCCCTCGTCAGTTTGCTCTTCTGCAGTGCATTTTTTTCCTCCAGCGTGTCAGCCTGGTGCTGGATGTGTGCTTCTGGGATAATGCTCCTCCTTTCTGAGTCACTCAGGCTTTGCTTTAACCCTCTTTTGTCTCCTGAACTTCAGTAGCTGCTGGAACAGCTCTCCCAGGTTTAGTGAAGCCCTTGGTGTTTGGAACTTTATTCAATGTCTCCATAATGATTTTTTTGATCATGCAGCTTTTCTTCTAGAGCTGCATCATAGACTCTTGCAAGCAGAAGACTTCTGCAGAAGATCTTTTAAGCTTCCCAGATAGAGGTCCCATCAAATTGCTAAGCTTCTGCAAAATCACTGGGAAAAATAGGGGTTTCTAGTCCTGACAGATGCCTCCTAACCTTAGCACTGTAGGCTGTTAACCCACCCTGAAGCAGTGAGACTCCCAGTGTTGGGACAGAATCAAGAGTGAGGCACGTGGCTCTTTATTGTTTAAGCATGAATGTAATTTGTTTTTTTTAAAGACATCCACACCTCAGTTTGTATCCACAGAATAAAGACTGGTCTGAGGAGACCCTGATAGTCCTGAGCTGCTTGATCAGCAAATGTTTGGGAGTTTTTGTCTTTTCATCTTTGCCTGGCTTTGAACAGAACGGAGTCAAGTTGAATGCTGTCACTTTGCCAAGTGGGATCTAACATCTGACATCCAAACAACTTCAGTCTCAGTGCCCAAATCTGGCCCTGAACCAAGAAATTACTGGTTTAAACCACTTGTCAGTAAGGTACTAACTGATCATGTGGGAACGTCCCTAAACAATATAGTCTATTACTTGTTTTGATATTTCTAATACCTTAGGGATATATTACTGGTTTAAACCACTTGTCAGTAAGGTACTAACTGATCATGTGGGAATACAGTCTATTGCTTGTTTTGATATTTCTAATACGTTAGGGATAATTAAATGCTGAATGTTAAAGAAGCTTGGAGAGAATGTGCTGGTCCCTTACTGGCAGTCCATGCCTTGTTGAAGAGCACTGGGTCTGTACAGAGGAGTTGCAGGCAGACAGAGCTGGACATACTAAATAACTGAAGCCCAGGACTGACCCCATGGTACCTCTTCTCCAGTGTCTGTCTTGTTTGACAGCCAACCATTGGTACTTGGGTTCTCAGTGCAGTATCCTGTGCATCTGTTGATGCACACTGCTTGTGGTTATTATGGCAAGACAGTATTTCCCTTGTTTGTTTATATGGAAGGTGTACAGAATTATACCTATGGGTATTAAAAAGGTTAAGCAGCAGCTCACCCCAGATCCCTTCTTCTTTACTAATCCAGTTATCCTCCTGAAGGACTTAGAATGCTATGTCACTATTTGTGCTTGAAAAACTCATGCCAGCTGTTTTTTTCATGGTGTTACTTTTTAGGTGCTTGTACATTTGTTCTGGTGTCCTGTCCTTCATTGTTGCATCTTTTCGTGTTGAGCTTAGTCTTACAAACACGTCTCTCAGTGCACCTCCTTTCACCACAGGAGTGATGGGACAGGGCAAGCAGGAAGCAGTGGTAAAAGTATTGAGCAGAGGCAGGGGACCAAGTTCTTTTTCTGACCATCCCTTGGATTTCCTTTGTGACTTTTTCCCTGCTTCATTTCTTTCCCACTACTTCAAGAGAAGACATGTGCTTACCACACAGCCATAGCATGAGTTTTAAGTAACTCACAGCTGCTTAAAGCAGAGTACACCTAGCACAGATAGCTATGTGATTTTTTGGTGTGCTTTTGTGTAGGTTGGATGAGGGGAGGCTTACCTTTCATCCCTAGTTGCTAGATCCCTGCCACCACTGCCTGTAGATCTACCACCTCAGTCTGACCTCTGTTTTCAGGGTTGTGCTGATTGTCAAGGAATGTGGGTTGTGTGAGGTCTTACTTTCAAGTCTTGGTCCTGTGGAGGAGATTGCCATGTCTGCACCCACCAAGAGATGGATGCTTGGCCATCACACTGTGGTATTCCAAAGCAACTTTGTGCTTTCAGCTGCCAGGCAGTGTGACCTGTGCAGAACTGTGCCTTTTTGTGGTGGTTCTCAGGCTCACTCAGCCTGCTGCTGACCTCTGATTTCCCTGGTGAACGGTTTGGCCGTGGTAAAACAGGGCTTGAGTGTAAATCGAGGGACTGGAATCTAACAGTCACGTAAGTGGAGCAACAATTGTTGGTAGGTAGCAGGGAAACAGCTTGGAAAAAAGCCTGAAAAGGTGAGAGCGTGCCTAGAATTTGGGGAAGTGCAGGCTGTAGGGAGGCTGTGTAAGGACACTGGCAATGACTAATATGTTGTCTTGTCTAGATGCAGACTTGTGTGGTTGGCAGCAAAACAAAAATAGCATGTCAGCACAGGATACAGATGTGTTTCCACAAGTTACAACGAAACTAGCTGGCTGGCCTTTACAATTCATTTATCAAAGCACTTCCAGTTCCCATTTTGAGGCTACAGGCTAATTATAAGCATTTCAGGAACGATACACAGTGTTCAGTTCATATTATATTCAGTTTAAAAAAAATTATTTGAAGAGTATCTGTTTTGATTTTGGAGTGGTAAGCATCCTGGGAGGATATTTGAAAACATGCATCTGAAATAAACAGAATTTTTGTTGCTGAAGTTCTCAATTCACAACTTAGATAATGATTTGCCTGGGAAACCCTCATATACTTTTTTGTGGCCATTAGAAGTCAAACAATGAAAACTGCTGCTGGCTGAGCATTGCTTTGTGGGATCTAACCCAAAAACACCCTTCTCTGAAAGTGGCCAGAAGAAACAGTGCTGAAGAAAGGGTCACTGGCTGGGTGGTCTGGCCCCAAACATGCTCATAGGTGCCATGGCACTGAGTATTGTTCTCAGACTCGGATCACAAGAAGTGCTGTCCTACCAGGCTTTAATAATAATATAATTTTTTTGTAAGCTTTGCGTGTGTTAGGATATATATGGGTATTACTGTTGACCATTAAAAAAAACAGTCCAGCCTTTATCAATTTTGTTGCTGTTAGCCTCATCAGCTTGTTAGATTTTGCGACTTTTTTGTTTGAGGGCAGAACTCAGTGGTTCTCATGTGTGTGCCAAGAATTCATGAAGGAGAAGAAAAGGTTGTGTGTTGTTTTGAGGGTTTTTTGTGTGTAGTTTGAAGGATTTTTGTGTGTTGTGGTTTTTTCTTTGTTTTGTTGTGTCTGTGTGGAGCTTTGAGCACAGCCACGAGTTACACGATCTCTTCCTCTGTGCTGCTTCGGAATTATTTCAAGTTTCCATGGAAACTGTGGAAATATGATCAAGTAAATTTCAAAGCAATTTCCAGGCACTGCTTTTGAATCTTGTGACAAATAGCAAATATGAAAGAAACCTCCTTGCCATCTTGCACAGCTGTAAAAATCTGCATGGTTCATCTGTGGAAGTGGCACTGCCTTTCAAAGGGTTGAGGGCAGAAGCCCTGAGCCTTCCACTCCTCACCTACAGCCAGCCAGCCTGGCCCCAGCCCAGGAATGCAGCTCTGGGAGGAATTTTCTGTCCCAGGAGCATCCAGTTTCTCTGGGATCTGGGGAGGCACTGCTTCTGCCTCCTATTCCTCTACAGGATCAGTTGCATCCAGAAACATCCTGAGCTTCCCAAAGCTCCTGTGAACAAATGTTGTGATGGGGACGAAGGATGGCTTGTGCTCAATATTCATCTACAAAACTTCCAGTGGAAGCCTGTGGGAGTTCAGCTTTCATGGGGATAGAGCTCTCTCACTTTGCATGATGTTTAGCAGCACCAGCTGCTTTAATAAACAAGACCAGCTACACACTGCAGAGGTGTTCCTCTCACAAGCAAAGCAGTTGGTGTTTTTCCTATTGAAAAAATCAGGTAGTAGAAATAAAGTAAAATAGTCATCAGTGAAGAATAGCAAGGATGGATTTGTAGACTCTAGAACAGAAATTTAGCTAGCCAACATACCTGTGGGTGTGACTGGTGCGTTTTTCTTGGTGGAAAATTGTTTCTGCAATTGTTTCTGCCCCATGAGCCCTGAGGATTGCTTTGATGGCAGGAAGAGGCAGTTTTGGTCTCTGTGCAGAAGGGTGATGCTTCTATTTACCTGGCTGGTTTGGTGCTGGTTGTGTAGCTCTACCAAGTACAGTAGATAAGGATCAGTCATTTGAAGTGTTGCCACTTGCTAACGTTGCTAATTGATGGCTCTGCTCTGCTGGGAAGCTGGATCCAGCCCTGGCCACTGTGAGAGACCACCAAGAACATATCTCAGACTGATCATGCCTTTTCTAGTGCCTTTACTGACAAACACAGGAAAAATGCTATGTATGAAGTCAAGGCACCACAGGAGAAGTGTGTGTGTGTGTGAAGGGTGTTTATATGGCAAAGAGAGGGATGGAGACCCAAAAGGAAAAAGGGCTGGACACAAGAATATGATATAGGAAAGAAAAAAGCTAGAAAACAGAATAATGCTTGTTTGGAGTGTGTGTGTGTGTGTCTGTGTAAATACCAAGCCTTAAAAACAGTATGTGATATTAAAAAAAAAAAAAAAAAAGAGGGAGAGGAGGGAGAAAAGAAGGAGGCTGTAGTCTAAAAACACCACAGAAGTACAGGCAAAGAACCTGGGACGGGCATGAGGTTTAATGAAACTGTAATGACTCACTGTTACTAACAAGAATGTCCACTGCTAATTTGTGTAAACGTGTGACCTGGCAGTGACACAGCCTCTCCTCTGTGTGCTCTGTCCTTTTGCTCCTCTGGTCCATCTGCCTGCTCTAGGCTCTGGTCCTGCCCCACTCTCCTGGGGGGATGGCACAGGAACATTCCCCACCATGTTTCCCACCACAGTACAAATAATCGATGTATTAAGAAATAATGTAAGCTGCGTTGCCATAAGGATGCTGAGAAAGGAAATTAGCTTTTACACTAAAAGTTTGCAGAGAAAGTGTTGAGCAAAGAGCTTTCTTTGTTGACACCGTCCATACTATGAAAACAGAACGAGGGTTAAAAAAAAAACTGGAGTAGAACAAGAACTACAAATAAGCCCTGAAGTTAGCAGTTACTGTGCTGTGTGCATACAATTGCCAAAGAACTTCAGACTTGATGACAAAGCTGTATATAAGCTTGTATGATGAAATCTGAAGCTGGACAAACACAGCTTGGTTTTCATTTATAGTTTATAGCCTGTAATCTGCCCAGCTTCATAAAGATCCTGACAAAGTTGAGCCAAGTTTTAGGAAATCTTCGTTGAGTTATAGTTTCCAATGGAAACTATGCAAAAAGGACAGGCTTTAATGCCAAAGGAGACAAAAATTATGATTTTTGAAACACATGACCGTGTTTCACGTTAAGTTTGGGAGTTAAAGCCTAAACTTTAAAAAAAGCACTTTAAAATAAAACTTGCAGACTTCCAACCAACAAAAGAAAATCTTTAATAGACCCACTGGTTTTTTTGTTGGTTTGTTTTTTTTTTTTAACTATCTGTAGTGTGTGGGTGTGGGTTTTTTTATTTACCACATTGCCAGAAATGACAATTCAATATGGATTCTGCTCTGCCTCCTGTTTTCCTGTTAACAAACATCTGGAAGCTCATCTTGTGTAATAAATGGGCCTTAGAAAGTAGGTTTTGCTCTACAGGGTCCCTTTAGGGAATGGCTGTGTTAATGCTGGCTCTGCTTTAGAGGGGGAAGTCAGCTGGATTTGTGTTTTCCTGTTGCAGATGTTGTGCTGGAGAAGGCCATGCATAAGTGCATTCTGAAGCCGTTGAAGGGTCACATTGAAGTGATGTTGAAAGAGTTTCATACCACAGATGGTTCCTGGAAACAACTGAAGGAAAACCTGCAGCTGGTGCGGCAGAGGAATCCTCAGGAGCTGGGCGTGTTTGTCCCAACACCAGACTTTGTGGACGTTGAAAAGATTAAAGTCAAGTTCATGACTATGCAGAAGATGTATTCACCTGAAAAGAAAGTCATGCTGCTGCTGAGAGTTTGCAAATTGATTTACACTGTCATGGAGAATAACTCAGGTATGGTGCTTCTGGTAGTTCAGGTTCACTGATATTTCATACCTGATGTTGTCTTTCAGAGGAATCAGCCCATCTCATTCTGCAGACAGGTCTACTGCTGAAGCTCTTGCAGCTTCTCCTTCCCCCTTTGAGAGGAATTCTTGCTCTCTGCTTCTGACCTGCTGTCTCTGAACTATCTGGCTGCATATCTTAAAAACTCAGTCTGAAGCAGAGTTGTTGTCATGGGTGGAGTGTGAGCTTCAGACAAAGTTAATTAGAGAAGCCCTCCCATGGTGCAGGAAGGACCCTTGTGCTTCCTGAACTCCTTCTCAGGGAGGAGCCTGGGTGCAGCTGGATTCACTTAGCCCAGACTTTATCAATGGTTTAAAATTCAAGGAATTATAGAGGTGTGATTGAACCTTTGTACAACGTGGTCCTACAGGATTAAGGATGACAAACCAGATATAGTCATATAAAAATGAATTATTTATTATGATAAATTATTAGACCAAAAAGATATTAATCCGAATTATTTACTACACAGTGTACAAGTAAAAATTACTAGTATAGTCTGTGACACTATAATGCACTATATCAAAACAATTATAATAAAGAAATTATATTAAAGCTAGCAAAAAGACCCAAAACAATTACTGAGTAGAGATTGATGTTTCTTACTGAGACCAATCACCAGGGGTGCCAAATCTCTTCTGCTCAGCCTCCAGGAGTGGCCCAGAGGGGCGTTCCCACCCAAGGGAGGAGTCTCCACACACACTCCCAGAAGGGAAATATTAGAAGATCCTGCCTATTTGAAAGCAGGACTGGACTTTTAGAGTACAAAGTGATTGACTGTCAGCCAGATGTCTCCATGCCAGCCGTGTCAGCCTCTGTGTTTTTAGATAAGGATACTTTACTCTATTTGCCACAGCATAATTCCACACCAAAAGCAGCATGACACCACATCTTAGTTCACCACTGATAACTTTGCAAAACAGGGCATTGTTTTACCTCACTCCAGGCAGAGCATCCTACAGATGTGAAGCAATTGAAAAAGAGCAGCTTTCCTTAACTGTAGGTTTTTGAAGTTGCCTGGCAGAAAGGCTGTCCTGTGAACCTTGAATTCAACACTGATTCTAAATTAATATTTGTCTGCAGATTGTACTAGAGGTAACACCATATATTTAGCTGTTGTAATTCTATAGCATGTATGCAATATGACAGCTACAATAGTTTTATCTTAATGGGTGAAGAAAAGCAGCCTCTAATCCAGTATTTTTTGCTTGCTGTGCCACTGAATGTTCTCATTTGGACACTTTCTTACATCTATTAATTACATCTATTTTTGCACTGTAGCAAGAACCCAAAAGCACCTTTGAAACCTAAATACTGAAATGGCACTACAGTCCAGTCAAGACCTGCTGAGCAGTCAGTGGTCCAAAATGCTGTGCTGGGTGGCATGAATTTATCGGTGCAATTCTGACATTCTCTCTTGCACACTGCCATGACAGGTCATGAGCTAAGGTGTAGCAAAGCTGTGGTAGCGGGAGATTTTTTTTCTCCTGAGTATAAGCTGCTGCAGGTGCTTGGCAATTCTCTTTGTAAGGAAGCATTGCATGTGCAGCTGGGTCTGGTGCAGATCAAGACACCTGCTCTCCTTGGAGATTGGAGATGAATGGTGAAAGCTCGTGGCTGTTAAAGCCCCCCAGGTATTTTACAAGATTTAGGACTGAGCTCCTGCCCAGCTTATTACTGTGCTTCCAAATTCTGCATTTTAAAAGGGGATACAGGGATCTTGGCCTGAAGTTCTGTAAACTCATCTCTCTTTACTGTGATGTTATTGCATTGAGTAAGGTATTTCCAGCATGCAGAAGGAGAATACTGAGAGGCTGCTGCTAGTCAGGTGCTCCACTGGGAGACTTGGGCTGAGATGTGGCAAATGCTCATTGGGCTGTCTTATTTTGTCATGTAAAGTTTTTTAAACTTTTTTAAACATTGAGCCAGCAGCTGTTTGAGTATCTACACTTCCAGCCAGGTAAGTGTGGTAGCTGGAGCGTGTGCCTCAGCTGGTGTCACTTGAGTTTCAGCAGAGTTGTAAGCTGGCTCCTGCTCTGGGCAGTTCTGAGTGGCCATCACATCTGTTCTGCAGTGAACACTGTTTTGCCCAACCCAGAGATTTGGTCGCATTGGGATTTCTGAACAGAAAGTCAAAATGCAGGAAAAGTGCCAGGAGCACAGACAGGCCTAGGTACAGCACAGTCTTTGTGAATCACTGTCACTCCAGGCCCTTACAGTCTCTCCCCATCTTTCTTGTAGGCTCCCTTCAGGTGCAGCACCTGGTGTTTGTAGAACACTTCTCTGGTGTTTTTGACAATTGTCTGTCAAGGAAATGTGTTGAGTTTTCTTGTCAAATCTAACAGGCTTTTATATTCAGGCTTCTCTGCTGTGGGATTCATACTCAGAGACTGGTATTTGTGTCTGGATGCTTCCAGAAAGTTGATACAATCCCTGGATGTGTAAAGCAAATGCTATTCATCACCTCTTTGGCAGTGGTAGCAGTGCAGGTGAAGGTCAGGCCAGGCTGGCATGGCAGCCTTTTCAGCACTTCACCAGTTGAGCTGCTGCCAGGGTGAGCCCAGTCTCTGAATTTCCCTTGCATGCCTCAAGCTGTGCATCATAAGATCTGTGCTGGTTTGAAGGACAGGATTGAGCTTGTCTCCTGTACAGTGAGTGTCAGGTAATGTTCTCTTTGCTGCACATTGCTGACTTTAGGAGGTTCTGGACTAATACAGACATGCTGGGTAGAGAAGGCACAAAAGAGTGCTTTCCTTTCAAACATGGGAAATGCTAAAAAAAATGTGGTTTGTCTCACTGCCTGTGTTCCCTTCAACCCAGGGAGGCTGTATGGAGCTGATGACTTCCTGCCTGTGTTGACGTATGTGCTAGCCCAGTGTGACATGCTGGAGCTGGATACCGAAATCGAATACATGATGGAGCTGTTGGATCCATCCTTGCTGCATGGAGAAGGTAATCTGTTTATTTTTACTAGAACTGCCTGAAGGACTAGTGAGGGGGTGTTCTGTTTGAGCAGGAATCCTATTAAGGGGAGACCTAATGACAGTGATGTTGATAGTGTAACAAAGAATGTCATCCTCATTTCCACTGCTGGGTAGCTTGCAGAGCACACCAGCACTATGGCTGCAAAATCTGCTGCTGTGTATTGCTTTCTGAGCAAATACATTGTTTCCAATCCGTTTTGACTCAGCAGGCAAACACATGCACCGTGCAGGTGCCCAATGGCCTTAGCCTTTTGTGCCTGAAAATTTCCTGAGAGGATTTATGGGGCAGCAGCACCCAGCAAAGTGTGAGGCACATAATGAGACTTGGCTTATGTGCTTGGTGAAGACTTCTGGGGGACTTCTTTGCACCTTTGTGAAAGTGCTATTGAGGATATTGCCCCCTTTTAATGATCTTTGCTTCTTCCAAGTATTTGCTTCTCACAATGTGTTTTTATGAGCTCTAGCAGTATGTTTCCTGAGGCATTCTTGAATGAATGCTAAAGTCTGCTGGAGACAATTTGCTTCTCACAATGTGTTTTTATGAGCTCTAGCAGTATGTTTCCTGAGGCATTTCTTGAATGGATGCTAAAATCTGCTGGAGACGAGGAAATCTGCCTCCTTACTGTTTCCATGGTAGTATTTTTAACAGAGCAGTTTTCTGCAAGACCCTGCTAGGCCCCAGAATCCAAAAGGTTTATGAGGAGGTTTGAAGGCTCTTGCAGCCAAGCTTGACTGTGTGTTTAGGTATATGTGTGTGTGTTTCCTGTTCCTGCTATATCCTGGCTTTCCAAAATTGCTTTTCATGTATCCTCTTGCATGATATTGTGCCTGGGAGAATTCATGCCAGAATTCCTTCAATTTGGCACTAGTCTGCTCCTTGCTTGGTGTACAGAGCATCATTGAGTGCATTGTTAGGAGTCTTAGCATGGAAAATACTTGAGATGTGAAGCTGGAGATCATTAACATGCTGAAAAAGCAGAAAGGTTTACTGGACTATTAAGTCTTGTTATTTTGAATACAGCAAAGAAAGTCTGTCTGTTGGTTGGGCCTGTCATTGGCACTAGCTCAGCTCTGCTGTGCAAAGAAAATTGTGTAGGGCTTTGGGGTTGTGCATTTCAACTGCAATGTATTGTACAATTTGTCTAAAGGGTCTTGCATGAATTTATGTGTTCATCTTGTTGCAAAGCTAAAGGCTGAGAGGGAATGCTGTCAGTAATACAGAAAATACTGCTGTGGGCATCCAGTGCATCTCTGAATGCCTCTGAATAGACTGTGCTCTTAGCTGAACACTCCCACCCGAATTGTTGACTTGAAAAAGAAAAGACAGCATGTCTTTTGTTTCTCCTGGTCACTGCAGACTGTTGCCTCCTGTTGAGACTCTTACTTTGTGACCCACAGCTTCTTTTGTACATTGGCAACTCTGTTGTGGCTTTAATTTGTTCTCTACTCATGTAAAAAAGGGGGAGTGTGCAGGACTGTACACACCATCTCCTGAAATAGTTGGACATTCTGGGAATGTTGAGAAGGTGATGATAGATCAGTAGTTGTTTTAAAAATAAAGACACTTATTGGGATGATTCCAGGATACAAGACTCACAGGCAGCTGCTGCTTTACTGCCCCTGGGGGTGGTTGCTTTTAAGTTGGTGAACACTGTTAGATTGTTTTTTATTTTGTTTCAACAGCCATGTTTATTTTATCCACCTTTGAAGCCTGGGAAGAAACCAAAACACTGTTAGAAAATTGTTTAGAATAAAGCTGGTGTTCCAAGATTAGAGGAGTAAATACTCAGGAGTAAAGAGTTACCAGAGTTGTTGGTTTTCTTAGCTTTTACAGAGATGGGGCAGCTGGGAGGAGTTTTAAAAGATTTTATTCTCTTATCAGTCATTTAAGGAAATGGCTTTCCTCAGCAGGAGTGGACCCAAGGCTCTGCTGTGTAATATGGAGCACATGCAACCCCTGCATGTCTCTGAGCAGCTGAGAACACACCCTCCAGTGTCGTGCAGGCCAGGGAGGGTTTTCCTCTTGTGTGTAAATATTCTGGCAACTTTCGTAGCTGTGTGTGTGGCTGGGTGCCTCTCTGTGTGTATTTATACATATCTCAAAGAAAACTGCCTGCACTTGTGACTGTGCCCCTCTGAGGAGTTCTTGCCTTGCTGTCCTTCACAGGGGGCTATTACTTGACAAGCGCTTACGGAGCACTTTCACTGATCAAGAACTTCCAGGAAGAACAAGCTGCCCAGCTGCTCAGTTCAGAGGCCAGAGACACTCTCCGGCAGTGGCACAAGAGGAGGACAACAAACAGGACAATACCTTCAGTGGATGATTTTCAGGTAGAGCTTAGGGCTGAAATAGAAAATGGGATGATTGTGTTGCTGGAAATACCCATTTGAGAGGTATCATTCGTAGCAAATTCCCTTGGTGCCACAAGTGGCAGGGCTCAGATTATGGCTGGCAAATTTGCCTCTTTGAAGTCTTTACACTCACTTTTTATCAAACAGTTTCATTATGATGGTCTGAAGAAAACACTGAATAATAGAGCTTTCTTACCTTCCCTTTTAAGTCATGTGAAGCGAGAACAAACTGCACTGTATCTTAGATTCACCTTTTTTGCACACTTTATTGTTCAAAAGATCAAATCCAGATTTCCAGGGGTATAAATCAGCCCAGCTGCCCAGTGGTGACTAAATCAGGTAACAGAGAGGAGAGATGGGAGAAATGTTCCCTGACAGTTTTCACGTTTAAGCAGGCAGCAGAATTCTGTGATACGGATGTCCTCACATTTGTTTGTGTTTTGTTTTTTCTTTTTTGTCCCCTGTGTTTTGTACTGCTCTTCCAGAGCAGGGCAGTACCTTCAGCTGGAGAATAACAAAGCAGTGGTTATCACTTCATCTTCTGAACCCAGGCCTGCATCTCTTCCATCTGCTTTGGACTGACTGTTAAGGTGCAGCAGTTTGTGAGCTGAAAGAGGGGAGGGTGTTGGAACTGGGAAGAGAGGACTTACTCCTCGGAGTTCAGCTGTCTGCACTTAGGAAGAGGAGAAGCCATTACAAGCAATTCCAGTGCCCAAAGCCTGCCCATCTCCCTGGGATCCACATTCTGTTCTCCTGACCTGTACTTAGGTGTCAAATTCCAGCAGCTGGAGTCTTTGTTCTTTCTGGCAAGACTCTGCACTTTCCATAGGAGCATCCAGCACCTTTATTTCTGCTGGGTGAGGAAATGATAGAAGATTCTTTCTGCAGGATTTTGTAGGAAGTTCCATCTTCTCTTTCTCTTCAAATGAACTTGGTCCAGGCTCAATGTTCACTTGGGTGCAGGAAGATGCAGGGGGCAGGGAAGAGCTGGCACCAAGTGTGTCCAGTGCTTCTCCTGCGGTTGTCTCTTTCAAAAGAGATCCTTCAGTTAGTGGATCCCACCACCCACAGGACATGCTTGGCACAAATGCAAGTGTTTTGCTGTCTACTCAGAATGGCGATTTTCTCTCTTCTCTCTCCCTGAGTCTTGCAGTCCTGAAATGGAGCACCTTGCCTACAACCAGCATGGAACATATCTGCAGCTCCAGTCATCTTTCTCCCAGGGAAACAGGGTGTGGTCGTGGCATTTCTGTGCTGCAGTCTCACAGCCTTGCTGGCTCTTGGGCTCTGAAGGCTGTCTTTCCACCTTCCCTAAATGGATGGAAAAGCAAAAACCCCAGTACTTTTTTAATGATGATGAAATACAGCTTTCTGGGCATCTGTAAAAAAACTTCAGCCTTTCCTTTTCCTTCCAGCAATCCTGTCCATCTAAAAACTCATGCTTTTCAAAGCAGGTCTTGCATGTGGTAGCTTAATTAAAAATTAAATCTAGTGTGTTTTGCCCTATTTAGGACTGGGTTTTTTTCTACAAGTTCTTCAAACCAGGTAAAAAAAAAATTTGCTTAGTTCTGTTCAGTCAGATTCAGTCCCAACTTTTAAAATCTATTGCAGAGCTTTAGTGTTCAGTCTTCGTGGTATCAAGAAATACTTGATTAGACAAGAGTGCTCTTTGGAACTTAAGTCATTGGAAGGTTCTTCTCAGTCCTAGCTTTTAACAGCTTGTTTCTGTGAGATGTAAACTTCTACCATTGGGATTTCACACACTTCTTTTATTCACCATACAAACTATGGGTGCCAGCTCAGTCCATAAACAACTCTTTCTCCCTGTAATTTTTTCCATCTCCTTCAATCTTACTGCATTTTAGTCTTTAATTCAAGCTAATTTCTTTCTTTTAAAACTGTCTCTGGTTTAGAGACAATTTTAGGAGAAAACGCTCTGGAATTAACATTTTCTCTAAAGAAAATGGGTTTTGGCACTCCCCACCAATATGAAAGGAATTTCTTGGATGAAAATGACAAAAACCATTTATTGAACAAACAAAGTGCCCACAGGGAGAAAATTAATAACTGTTGGGTATTGAAGCTGCTCACTGCTGGTGGATTTAGAGTTCCCTCTTCAGCTGGCCTGGCCTCCCCCGAGGTCCAGAGCTGGGATGCAATGTGTGGCTCCCACCACTGGTCTGGTTGTTGGACCAAAACTGAGCCAAGCAGTTCCAGAGGAAGCCACAGAAGTCACTGGAGGCTTGCTGTTGCAGTCCTGGGAAAACTTCTTGCCTCAGCTAACTAAAACCAAGGTAGCCAAGAGCAAAAATCTAACTCCCTCCATGCCACAAAGCCAAGCACACAGGGAGTGAGTTCCTTGAACACAGCCTGTGCCAGAGTTCCCCCAGCTCCCACCCCTTCCCTGGACCCAGCTGAAAGCTCCAGGACCCGTGCTGGGCATAAAGCAGACCATAGGGGAATACAGTATTACCATAGAATCACCCCAGGACAAAAACAAACAGGAAGCAGATGAAACTGCATTTCCCTGTGGGGCCTATTTAGAAGGTATCTGTGTTAGCAGAGTTGCAGGCGTGTGTCAGTTTCTACAGGAGAAGAGATCCACCTTTTGCCTCAAGATCAGGTGCATTTACTCAAATGGTGCAGAGTAAATTTTCTTTCTGAATCCCTGTGAAAAATAATGAAATGCTGTCCTGTGAAGCTGGGTTATGCCAGGCTTAGACAGCAGGCTGCAGCTCACGGGATGGCCATCATGTCCAGGAATCACCAGGGTGTGTTTCACAGCTGGAGCAGGGAGAGGCTTGCTTTTTGCTGCTGACTTTTCAGTTTTCAGAACCTAAGGGTTTTTCGAGTTCCTGATGTCTGCTTTCTTGTTCACAGAACTACCTTCGTGTTGCATTCCAGGAAGTTAACAGCGGCTGTACGGGAAAGACTTTGCTAGTAAGGCCATATATCACTACCGAAGATGTATGTCAGCTTTGTGCTGAGAAGTTCAAAGTGGCAAATCCAGAAGAATACAGGCTGTTTCTTTTTGTTGATGACACCTGGCAACAACTGACAGAGGATACCTACCCTCAGAAAATCAAGGCGGAATTGCACAGCCGTCCTCAGCCCCAGGTCTTTCACTTTGTCTACAAGCGCCTTAACAGTGACCCATATGGGGCCATTCTGCAGAACAGCCACGACTCGGCTGCTTAAAACCAGCAACCCGTCATTTTTGTATCTGTAAACACCTTTGTTGGCTGCCTTCCTTAGGAGCTAAAACATGTCTTAAACCTTAAGTGCCTGGTGAAACACGTGCTGACGTTTCTGATGTTGCTTACAGGACCCAGGCACGCTGTGCACGTGGCCAGTTGTGCAGAATATTCCACCAGCATGTCTGAGGAGACAGCCTGTGAGGCTGCACTTCTTGTACCATGGGCTCTTTTTCAGCATATTCTACTGTGGCCTTTCACAGGTCTTGGCTGTAGTGTGCAAAATACAATTTTCTTCCACTCCTGTTTCCCCAGCTGTCACTTGCATTTGAATCTGTGTGCGAGGCGAGTGTGTCCCTGAACTGGGGTGAGCTCAGTTCCCCAGCAGGAGCTTGACAAGACTGTCCGATGCAGGGCATCAGTTCACTCAGCATTACCTGGATGGTTGCATCCTTGTCTAATTTTTTTGATTACAGAAAATCAACCTGTTTATATATATATATATATAAATATATATATATAAAAAATAGATATTTTATAGCAGTTGCAGGTAAACTGTCAGGGTTGGTTTTTGAAATATTTTTTTAACTAAAATATTCTATAATTATGCATGTGATTTTTAACATTTAATACACATGAATAAATCTCTTGCTGGTTTTAGAGTCTTGCATTGACAGCCTGTGTGGTTTCTCTTCTTTACCTGTTCCAGGAGAATTCTTAGGAAACCTCTGTATCCTTAAGGCAGTTTTGCTGTCTGTTCTCAATTGTCTTCTGAAAATCAGACCATTTTATCCATTGTGCTGTGCAAAACATGTCTTAGCCTCTCATCACATTCATTCTAAGCACACTGAGGGGAAGAGAGCCGATAAAAGTGAAAATTCCCTGAGAAAGGAGATCAGGGTGTCACTGGTGGCATGGGCTGGGATTGGAGCTGAGCTGGAGCACGTCATCCATTCAGCTTTCACCTCGTGGTGTTTATGGCTCTGCCAAGAGACAGATGGTAATTAATGAGTCCCAGGCCAAGCCATGACAGTAACCTGTTCTGTTAGAGCTGGTGGTTTTTCGACATATGCATCAGCCACACTCTCTAATAAATCTTGGAGTTTGTTTCTGATTTTCTTTCAGCCTTATATCCAACTATCATCCCCTTTTCTTCTCTTTGTCCAGTGCGTAGTTTCTATTCCTTGGTCCTGTGTGCTCCCATTCCCTTTCCCTACTTCATTCTCTTGTTCTTCTTTTTCTTTTAAGAAATAAGTACTCAATATTTATTTAATAAACCTTGCTCAATCTCTCTCCCTGTTCTGTCCTACTTTTTGTCTCCCTCCCTCTCTCCCTGCCTGCATCTTTATCTTTCCTTCTTTCTTCCTCTTTTTTCCCTTTTCCTACACTGGGACTGTATTTCTTTGTCCCTCTCACTGTCCTTTACCCTGTACCTGTCAGCATCTTCTGCCCAGTCCTTCATTCTCATTGTACCCTTGTCTTGAAAAGCCTCTGTCCTGCTGGCCGTGCTTCTCCTTCTCCATCCCTGTGCTGCACCTTGCCTGCTTTCCCCACCGGCCGTGCCGTGGTCATTGCCTCTCTCTGTCCTTGCTTCCCTCTTTGTAGCCCTCTGTCTCTTTCTCTGTCCTTCTCCATGCCTCACTCCTGTTCCTCTTTTTTCTGTTTGGCTCTGTGGTGCTTTCCATGCCATTGTTTATCACTGGTTACTTGTGAACCGTTCCCTGTCCTTGTTCTTTTTTAAGCCCTTTCTGTGATGCCGCCCATCCCAGTTTGGGGGTTTTTGTTTGTTTGTTTGGATTTTGATTTGTTTTGGGGTTTTTTGGGAATGTTTTTGTTTTGGTTTGGGTTTTTTTGTGTTTTTTTTTTGTTTGTTTTTTGCCTTACTTGTATTCCTTTTTTATTCTTGGTGGTGCTCCCGTGTGCCATTGTTTCTCTACTGGATCCTTGTGTCCCGTTCCCTGTCCCTGTTCTTTTTTAATCCCTCACTGTCATGCTGCCCATCCCAGGATTTGTTGGTTTTGGTGGGTTTTTTTATAATTTTTTCAATTTCATTCTGCACCCCGTTCTTACTTTTCTTCCTGTGCCTCTGCTGCCCTCCCTCTCTCTGCCTCTCTCCTGTGACTGCGGCGCTGGGGAGGAACTTCGGGGGCTGCCCCCCATTCCTGTTGCAGCAGAGTCCCTTTTGGGGGGTTCTTCCTGTGCCTCTGCTGCCCTCCCTCTCTCTGCCTCTCTCCTGTGACTGCGGAGGAACTTCGGGGGCTGCCCCCCATTCTTGTTGCAGCAGAGTCCCTTTTGGGGGGGATGTACCTGTGGAAAAAGGGCTGGAATAAAGCACCACGCTGCTGTCCAGGGCGGTTTGACTCCTCCTGTGCCTTCTTTGGGGGTGAGGAAGGAAGGCTGAGGGGGTGAAGACTCGGGGCTCTGATGCCATTTGGGGCACCCCAATGTCCCGAGGGAGGGAGCCACACAGCAGGTGGGTGACAAATGAGAGGGGATCATGCTGGGTGCCATCCCCCACAGGGACCCAAAGCTGCCACAAAATTCACAGGGAGGGGTGGGCGTCCAATACTAAAACCTGTCAAGTTTTTCGGTTTTATAGGTATTGGTTAAAAATAGGAATTTATCTCTGAAATCATGTGGAAAGATTGATTTGGAAAGAATCTCTATCCATTCTATTGCATACAAGAATGTAGGAAACTGACTAGAGTTGGTGGTAGTTCTGAAATCAATGCCATAACGCTTTTGCCTAGTAATGAACCAAGCTGTGCCCTGAAACCGTAAGAACAGCTGCAGGGAGCAGAAGGAGCTCCGCGGCCGCTTTGGGCTCCGTTCTCCGCCTGCCCCCGCGGTGCCTCGCAGCCCGGCCTGGGCCGGCGGCGCTGCTGCCGCCGTGTGGGCACGGAGCGGCACTGCCGCTCGGGGCAGCGCCTGTGAACAGAGGGAGCGCTGAGGAGAGCTGGGAGCGCAAAGGGACGCGGCCGGGGTTGAGCGGGGGCCGCGGCGCTGCAAGGCTCGGCGGCTGGGAAGAATGACAGCGGCGGGGCGCGGGCGAGGGGCGCCGGAACGGAGCCGCCATTTCAAGATGGCGAAGCGACCGCGCACCCGGACACTGCGTGAGCCGGGTCGGGCTGCAGCCACACTCAAGATGGCGGCGGCGGCGGGACCCCGGCAGAGGCGGCGCTGCCGCCCGGCTTCGGGGCCGGGTTGAGGCAGCCGGCAAGAAAAACGCCTGTGTGGGGAGCCTGAAGGGTACCACAACAAAGATGGAAGTGGCTTCTGCCAGTACCAGAGATAGAGTGGAGGAAGGGCGGGAGTCACTTGACGCCACACCCAGGATGGCTCAGCGCGCCCCTCGACCTTCCAAGGATGGCGGCAGTCGGGGCACGCACCTTCGTGAGGGACGGAAAGGGGGCGGCACAGCCCCGACACCGCCCCGGCCCGGCCCCAGCGCGGCTTTCCGCGGCGCTTCCCGGTGTGCGGGCACGAGCTGAGGGCTCGCCGGGGCCGGGGCAGGGCGGGGATGCCTCTGCGGCTCTCGCCTCAGCACCGCGCCATGCCATGCCGGGAGCGCGACCCGTCCCGCCGCCCTCCTCCCCTTCTTCATCCCCGCTCCCCAGGGAAATGGAGGAAAACACAGAAGCGTCGGGGAAGAGCAGAGAGCCGAGCTGCCTGAGCCTGGCAGCCGGGAGCACCGAGCAGGAGAGGCCGCTGCTCTCTCCGCCGGGAGGTGAGAGGTGCGGATTGCTGGGCAGGGCTTCCCAGGGGGAATTTGGGCTTCCCAGGGGGAATTTGGGCTCCCCGCTCTCTGGCTGGAATCCGGGCTGCGGCAGCTGGCGTCGGGGATGCTGCTCACCCGGGAGCTGCTGGAAAGGGCAGATCTCAGCAGCCCTGCTGGAACCAGCGCCGCAGCCCAGCGCGATTTCCATCGGATTTGTCTCGAGTGTGTGTTTCAAGCTGGGAGCGCTTGGTTCCCCGGTGGGAAAGCCCAGCGCAGTTTCCATCGGATTTGTCTCGAGTGTGTGTTTCAAGCTGGGAGCGCTCGGTTCCCCGGTGGGAAAGTCCTTGAAGCAGCCAAGCTGAGCCGTTTCTGAGAATTCCAAACCTTGTGTCCTTAGGATTCTTGATACAGCATTTAAATAGTTGCTATCAAGTTGAGACAGTCTGGTGGATTTGTTAGAGTGGCAGAGATGTTTTTTCACCTGGAAGTGTGTTGGGATAAGCAGCCTTCCTTCATGTCAGAATGACTTGGTCTTCCTTCTTTTCCCTTTTTTCCTTACTAGATTGCTGAGCACTGGGGAGAATATTTGGGATAAAGAAATGAAAGGCACAAGGGAAGCTCCACACTCCCGAGGGAATGCTTTAGGCACGTGCAGCTTCTGACCTCACCAACAATCCCAGCTGCCACAGAAACCTTCTGAAGCTGGGAGAGGGAAGACAATTCCAAGAGCTCTGGGAAGAGCTTTCTCCCAGGACTGGATGGCATTGAGCTTGGAATGAGTTCCAAATCATCCTTGTGCCTCTCCTGTTGCCATCCAGGACTAAGTCGGTGTTCCCTGAGTGGCTGCAGTTCCCTGAGTGTGGAGGGAAGAAGCCTGTGCTGGAGAATGGGAGAAAAGTCCCTGCTGGTTGCTGTGTCCTCCGTGGGCACAGAACTCTGGCCAGATGGGTTGGTGAGTATGGAATCAATCCTGCCTCCTTTTGACTGAATTGTTGTCATCAGTCATCAGCAGGGACTGCTTCTAGCCAGCTTTAATTCCATTTCTTTCCCACGAATTTCTGGTTGTTTTGATCCTGAAATTGACAAACCCTTAAGTTTGCTGAATGAACCCTGAAAAGGTTCTACAAGCCAATGCTGAGGGAATTGGGGATTGGATAGTTAGGATTTTATGGCTTCAAGTGTTGGGTTCACCCCCTGATTTTGGTGCCAAGGGAAACTCCAAGTTAACACTGATCAAAACAGGAAGCAGTTCCTTCATGAAAGTCAGCTTTCCAAACCTTTGTTCAGGATCCAAAAAAGATGGGAATGCTCTTGGAAAAAAAGTGCCTTTGAGAGAAAGCAAGCTTAAAATGCCTGTTAGCAGGAAATCCAGGAGAAATGGCTGCTGGCTCCTGGCATCCTGGGCAGGTTTTGTACTTGATTGCAAGGCCGTTTTCCTGCCTCTGCAGGGGGTGGGAGAAAAATATTCCCCTCCTTCCCTGTCACAGCCCTGGAGTGGGAGCATCTTCCCCTTATCCTGGAGTTATCCTGCTCCTGCCCATTATCCCTCTGGTATCATGTGCTTCCCAAGCTCCCAGCCCTGATGGATCTAAACAAGGAGAACAATACCTGTTCTTTCTCTTCTCCATCCTCCATGTTCCCAGGTCCTGCATCTCCCTGTCCTCATCTCCATCCCACCTTCTCCTGGTCACATCTGGGCCTGAGATGTGTTTAGCAGCAAATCCATTCCTTTGAAGGAAGCCAAGTGCAAAGAGCACCCAGCTGCAGAGAAGTCTTTAGAAAAGGAATGCAGTCATGCAAAGAAAAGCTCTGTCTTCCTGCATTTCCTGTTGTTTTTCTCTGTCCAGTTTTGGAGGGTTTTTCTCTGCGCTTTCCTGTGATCCAGATGTGTCCCTTCCTTGATCCAGATCCAGTGCCAAAGGATTGAACAACTGATGAGCGGGGTCTGGGATGAGAATGGTTCTGCTAAAATTAGGCACAGAATGCTAAAAGAAAAACGAGCTTCCTTTGAATGTCAGGAATAATAACACTGGGAAAGGGCACTTTTTTATTTCATTTGGTGCCACCTCCTCTTTTTTATGGCTAAAACTCCATGGTGAGCAATCCAAGCCAAAAGATGAAATACAGGAGTCTTTGATTCTGCAGTGAGCTTAACTTCCCTTTTCTCCTCTCTTTCAGGACAGGGAAGATCACTAAACTTGTCCCAGCCTTGCCAAGAACTCTGGTGTTTGGGCTGCCAAACCCAAACTGGTCCTGCCCTGGTAGGTCACAGGTTCCTTTCCTCTCTGCTGTGACAGGCTCTGTAAGGAATGCCATTCCCAGCAGCCTGGTTTGCTGGAAAAGGGGAGAGGGGAATAGGAAATGTGGTGCCAGAGCTGTGTTCCACCAGGTTTTGTTTCCTTTCCTCTGAGAACAGATAGTCTCTGGGCCAGGTGAGATTCTGGGAGTGTTTAGATGAGCAATCCAGGGAACAGGAAACTCGGAACTGCAGCTGCTGCTGGAACCTTAGGTCTCTTTAGGTTGCAAATATCAGCTCCTACAGTCCCAGAGCAATGAGGGGGAAAAGGAACATGTGCAATTCATGGCAAAGCTTTGGTTATTCCTTGTGCAGTCTTTTAATTCTGTGCTCTGAGTAACTGTCCAGTATCTTTCTGATGAGACTTGTCAGAGATTTAGATGGAGGAGTTGAATTTGGGTCCATTCACTACAAAATCTTGCCAAGCCTGACTGCTCTCATCACCCTCTGCCTTTATTAATCCTCTGTCAGATTTCTCTCAGTGCTGGGCAGGAAAGGTGAGGGTTTGGATCAGGAATTCTGCAAGCAGGGCCTGTGTGACCCTCTGCTTCCTGTGTGTGTCAGTAAGGCAAAATCAGGAGCAAAGGTTGGTTTGGTTTATAAGAACATCAAGTAACTTTAGAACAAAATAAATCAACTACTTTTTCTTTTTTCTTTTAGATTCTGGAACTGCGTCTCTGGATGTGTGCTGAGCTCTCACTGCTGTGGACTGTGCAGCCTTAATTGCTGCAGGGTTCTGTTCTTCTCTCTGGGGAATTGGAAATAATTATTAATTAGAAGGCAACATGCTTTCAGAAACCTCTCCCTTTTTCTGCCTTTCAGTAGCAGATCTTCTCTTTCTGCTTCTGAATTTACAGCAATTCTCAAATGTCATTTCACCTGCCCAAACTCCTCACAGCCCAGGGGGGTTCAGGGAAGGTGCTGGTCTTTTGCCACATGTGTAGATACGAATTTACAGCAATTCTCAAATGTCATTTCACCTGCCCAAACTCCTCACAGCCCGGGGAGTTCAGGGAAGGTGCTGGTCTTTTGCCACGTGTGTAGATATGTAACCACTTAGCAGATAATCTCAGATTCTGTAAAGACAGCCATTCATTTTAAAATCAAGACCAAACTCCTGCTGCTGGGAAGCTGTGATCAGTTTATAATTTAGCTTTAGCTCAGAGATACCAGATTTGTGTACATCAGAATAGCCCCAACTTCCTTGCAACCCAGAGCATCAGTGTCACCTGACTGAGCTTCTCTGCCACTGTCACCACAGGTGACTGTCCTCCCTCTGCACAACCAGCGCATCAATAAAGCAGTGGAAGGTGAAATGATAGAAATCAATCTGCCTCTCATTAGTGGGATGAATAGAAGTGTTCTGGGGAGAGGGATTGATGAGGGGGTGAGCAGATGTGTTAAGAACTTGTTTAAAGATGGATAAGAGAAGGATGCTAATTCTTTTTTGTCAGATAGCTGGGAATAAGCTTTGGAGGACTTTTGGATGATGGTGTCTCAAGCAAACAGTGTCATGTACAAACAGTACAAACACTGCTCAATAAAACGAGCTTGGAGAAAAGTTTTGTGTGTATTGTATTTGTGGGGTTCCCAGACAAAGGAAGGAATGATGAATCTGACTCCATGTTCTCAGAAGGCTAATTTATTATTTTATGATACTATATTATTTTAAAGAATACCATACTACACTATACTAAAGAACACAGGATACTTACACAAGGCTAAAAAGATAATAATGAAAAACTTGTGACTCTTTCCAGAGCATTGACACAGCTTGGCCCTGATTGGCCATTGAGTCAAAACAATTCACATGAAACCAATGAAACAACCACCTGTTGGTAAACAATGTCCAAACACAAAGCAGCAAAACACAGTTTGAAAAGCAAATCAGATAATTATTGTTTTCCTTTTTCTCTGAGGCTTCTCAGCTTCCAAGGAGAAGAATCCTGGGCAAAGGGATATTTCCAGAAAATATGGCTGCCACATGTGTGAGGCAGGTGCCTTTATGTTTTTAGAGATTTCAGAGAGTTTTCAAGTAGAACCACACATTTTCCTTAAATGAGCATGAGTGTTTGTAGTTACACTGGAACTGAGCTGCTGAAGACACACAAATATTTTGTAAGCATAAAATATGTGTGTAATTTATGTTTGCCTGTGCTCAGGCACACACAAGCTCACACAAAGACCAGGAAAGACACTTGTACGTATTTATTTCCCTTTTGCCTACTAGATAGCAAAGTCATTGCTGTATTTGTAGCCCTAATTAATCACAAGGAGGAAAAAGCAATTTGCCTTACAAGCAGAAACAAACATGAGGAAATGTTTCACTCTGGATGCAGTGAGAAGTGTGGTGTTGAAGCACTTCTGGAACGGGCAGTGTGGACAAAGGCAGAGGTCTTTTCCCAGGCCTGAGCACCTTGCATTTCTCACAACACAAATGTGGCAATGCTGCTTCAGGGACTGGGGCCAGCTCATTGCAATGCAGCACTCCAGAGGGAGGCAAGGCAGTTTGCTGTGACACCTTTTCCATCCTGCTGCCTCGCTCACTGCTGCAGTTACAGATGGCCAACATTTGTGTCTTAAACATTTATCCTGCAAAATAGAGACTTTTGAATAAAAAGTATTTGGTGCACCAAAATATCTCCCTTAGATTTAAATTTTCGTCTTGTTTCAATCTTCAGAAAACATTCTGAGATTTCAGATGTTGTTTTTTCTCATTTTTGTCACCTTCCTCCTGTCTCGCGCTCTGTTTTCTGAACACAGTAGATATTTGCCAAGGTTGAAGGATTCAGTGGGAGGGTCATTCTCTCCTTTGTGTTCCCACTTATTTTATTATTTTCCCAATTATTTAAGGCTTTACCTATATTGTTAGTGTAGTGCATTTGGCTAGCACAGGATCTCAGCCTCCTATCACACCTCTCAATGAAACAAGATAAAAGATTGTATTAGAATCATCTTTTTTTCTCCTTTACCTGAAGTTTGTAAAATTGCCAAATAGATGTAAAAATAGATAAGCATTTCTTAAAATTTTGACATTGAGGTTTTCCTGCAGTCAGTTGCAGATGGAAACTATTAGTGGGAAAGAAACAGAAGTGAAAAATTTTACAAATATTTTGGGTGAAGGAATACAGTTTGTCTCAATTTGAACTCTGAAATATAAACAAACTTCTAACTGCAAAATTAAATGAGTATTTAGAAAACTCCACTTATTGTCTGTGCCTTGTATATCCAAGTTGAGGGCAGAGTCTAGATGGGCTTTGGCTGAAAAGCACTTGAAGTTCACAAAGACACCGAGAAACCTCGTTCTTCACACTCAGGTTACATCCCAAAATCAGACCAAGACAAGAAGCTCTCACCCTCCTGGTGAGCTGGAATTTCTGAGAATATTTTCTTATGAATACAGCAGAACATGTTGCTCCTAAAACAAAGCCTGTCTGCTCAGAGCTCCAGATTCCTAGGCCTGCAGCAGTCCTCAAGGAATCAAGATGTACATGTTTTTCTGCTGAGTGTGTTTGAGATGTCCCAGTTTATTTTTGTCAGGACTCGTTGCCAGGCTCAGGGTCAGCGTCTAGAAATCAAGATGAGATCCTTCAGCACAGTGAATCTGTATTTTACATTTTGGCTTTCTCAAAAAAAAACCAACCTGGTGTGGGTGGACTTTGCACCTCTCTGCTTCAGGTAGCCAAGATTTTGTTTAGAGATTATATTAGAGGTTTTGACTGATTTCCAGGCTCACCCTGAATCTGACATGTCTCATGTTTTTTGCCTGTGGGTTCAGTGTTTTGTGGTGACCCAAACTAGCTCAGGTCCTGCAGAGGTACTGAGTGAAAAGGGCTGGGTTCTGCATCTCCTTCCAAGAGATTAGAATATTAAGGAAAAGCTTGTTACAAGAAAGAGAACATACAGGGATGACAAATAATTACTCTCAGAGAATATAAACGAGGTGTTTATTCCTATCGGTTTCTCTGGGTCTGGATTGAAGGCAATTGAGATGCATTTCATGTTTGGACTCAGGTGTTTATTATTTCTTATCAGTAAAACAGTCTCACAACCATGAGTTTGGCAGCTTTTTATTAGCAAGGCACAAAATGGCTAACTCTCTTGTTACAAGGTCTTTTAAGATTAAACTATCTAATTAAGAACTGACACCTAGATTCTTTTCCCTTTCAACCCAATAACTGATCCCAAAGAGCCTACAATGTGGACTTTTCTGTCCAATTACAAAACATCACCCAAACCCATGAAGAAGAAGGAAGAAGAAGGTAAAGAAGAACAATCAGCCTCCATCCTAAAACCTCCATCTTGCTTCTTATTTATTTCTATATTCTAAAATCCCAAACTCTTAAGATTTCCACCCTGTGATATTACACACTTCTAACCAACTACACACCCATAATCCCAGCACTATCAATGAAATTTGGAATCTTTCACAGCCTCAGGTCAAATGCAGTGCTCTCTTGTAGGTCTGTGCCTTTAAGCACGGAAAGTTCAAAATTCTCAGCATCCAGCATTTCAACAATTCCCATGCAGAGAAGTGGATCAGCCAGGAAAGGTCAGGTTTTTATGTGTGTCTTCCTATGGCACCCACGGGTGAAGCTCTTTGAGAGCACTTCTAGAAAGCTGCTGTTCCATTTCTGAGCATCTGAATGATGGTTACACCACCACGTGTACAAATGGCCGCTGCTTCCAGGATTTTATAATTCATGGCTGTAACCAGAAATGGATGGGTTTTGGCCATCCAGGTGAAGATGGGAAAGGCTGTGCCAGGGGTATGGCTCTCCCCATGGTTACACAAAACCCCCCAGGAGAGGCAGGGCTGGGGGGAGGAGCACAGGGTGGTCGTCACCCTGGCTGTCCCACTGGGAATGGGTAGTGGTCACTCTGGTTTTCCCACTGGGAATGGGTGGTAGTGACCCTGGTTGTCCCACTGGGAGCGGGAACGGTGGCAGCGGCTTCACGGCAGGGAAACACAAAACAATCCTCAGGGAAATTCACCCCAAAATAACAAGCTGGCCTTCAGGAAAAGGAAAGGTCGCTGTTTGAAAGCCACTATTTGAGAGCTGGGAGGGGTTAAAAAGGAGTGAGTTGGACACAGTAGTTTTTGAGTTGGAGGTGACTCAAAGCTGTAGCTCCAAAGAATTCCTTTTTTCTAAGGAAAATAATGCAGAAGAACAATGTGGATACTTGCAGCATTTTCAAGGCAGTAGATTTTTTTTTCTTTATAGAAAATAAATTGGAACTGCTTCCATGAACAAGAGGCTACAGAAGGAAGTGGGAGCTTTTGTGGAGATTTAAAAATAACCAAAAGGAGCACACTGGCAAAGTGTTCTGTTTTCTCAGCGTTGCAGAGAAAACACAGCACAGCCTCAGAGACTGAGGGAGGAAAAGGCTACGAAAGCAGATTGGGAGACATAATGTGGTAAACTTCAGATTTGCCAGATTTTGTTTTGGAAGCCAGTGTTTGATGATAGGTTACCTCATGATGGGAATCGGATTGCAGACTTTGCCAGCTCTTTACCCAAACATCTAAAATCTTTCAAAACATTTTTCCCCAGCAAACCACTTTAATTCAACAAATTATACTACCATGTACTGTGTCCCAACTCAGTCTGGTGCTTAGAGCTGCCATAACTGAATATTCATGAATTCCAGGAAAACATCATGTTTTGCTGTACCTGGCAAATAAATTTATTGCACAAATATAGCACCCTCAACCCCCCCAGTGTATTAACCTCGGCAGCTTTAACTCTTTAAAGGCATTTACTTAACATTTTTTTCAGTTGATGAGGATAAAAGAATGTTGGTGGTGTTACCTGATTCCTGACCTCTCTAATCACACACTAATTGCCAGCGTATCCTCTGCTGCTGGAGAGGGTTTTTGTACTGATGCTGTTTGATGCTGTTTTGTCATTTTATTTAGGAATTGGATTTTAAATGTAAAATTACAACTATAACTATATTTAAACAAAACAAATATATGTATAGAAATAGGAATAAAAAACTTTAAATATAGACAGAATATATAAAAACATGCAACATAAATGTATTATATATTACAATAAGATACTATATATTGTTTAATATAGAGTATTTTATATGTTTATAGAAATAAATATGGATTATAAATAGAAACAAAACCCCATACAAAATATAAATATAGAAATGTATGACAAATATATGCAGACATATATACAAATATAAAATATCTATAAATATAAAATAACATAAATGGATACAATACATAATTCAAGTAATACTGTATATATCTTATTATATTATATGAAATATATATAAATATAGTATATAAATATTTTATCATAGAATATATAATAAATTATAAACATAAAAATGTTTTAAAAAATGGTTTAAAATAAAGGTTTTTTTAATTTGGCAACAGGCAGGGTTTGTATTATAAAAATACAATAATAAATACAAATAATATAAAGGTAGAAATCTAAATATAGAAATATATAATAAATACATTAAGATATATATTAAAATTAAAAATATAAGAAAAAATAAGTTGTACCAGTAGATATGATACATAAATAATAATATATA